CTCAGTTAAAGGTGCAGTCAGCGATAATAATCTAGTATATTTTTTGCCAAATTCAGCAAATGTTTCCCAATGGTGCCCAAGCTGGCCGTTCTTTGTATGCGTTGAAATAAATCTGATGGTCAAACAAACTCTTGGCTCTAATTGGGAAACAAACAATGCTAGTCCAGCAACAGGGGGCGTTAATGCTCATTCGCAGGACAGGGGAAAGGCCGTGGATTTATAAAGACGAAGGCAGCGGAGGCGAGAGCGACGGTAAATCTGGCACTTACTAACGTGCGCAGCTCCACAGCTCAATTATCGACAATCTTTCTCTGGAGTTGATGACGCCACCTTTAAGTTCACCTCAAACCTCAACTCACTCGAACGTTTCACCTCACCTCTGCCCTCTTGTACGACAAATTACAGCAACTCAAATCGATGCAAGTTGTACTCATTGATATTGTAAAAGCAACTACAAAACAACTAAGGTTTTAAAATTCAAATATCGACTTTTGTCTTGACATTCACAAATGCTTAATGGCTGACAGTTTTTTGTAAGTGACAACTGGTGTGAGAGGATGGGTGCAGAAAATCACAGTGCACTTAAGTAACCCTTTAAAAAATGACCGTATGTGCTTGTGACCATTAAAAAACTGTGGTAAGGAAGAACCGACAGGATTGAGTATCACAGAGTAGGGAAGTCAGAAACTAGTGACAAACAGACTAATGCATTGCTGCTTTTGTTTGTTGTGCATTGACAAAAAATAAAAGTGTTCACTAACAGGATTCTTAACCTGTCATGCAAATACTGAATGAAAGACCACCTTGCCTTAGATATACTGTGAAAAAAAACAGTTTCCTACAGTGCAAGTAGTGCGTAATTTCGGATTGCAGTAAGCTGTAAAGAATTGATCTTCCGGTTGTGTCTGTGAGTGCATGCATGTGTGATTATATATATGCCTTAATCTGCAGTTGTGGCCAGGTTTTCGAATAACTCTGTATCGCAATGAGGCGGATATACCCTGAGCTCTAGTCTGTGGTTCTTCCTAGAAGGCTCTACATGTGCTCAGTGTACATGTGTTCAGACGAGCCCTGACTCTGCAGGCCTACAAACTCGCATGCAGCAGACAGCAGTCACATGCATTTGAGCTGCAACTGCAAGAGTTACGTGAAGAGGGTGATTGGGCCATTTGTCATTTGTGCTTCCATCCATGTTTTAAAGCAGCAACCTGTGTTTGAGTGTTTGATGGCTCTTGCAGTGCCATGTTTTGGTTGGTAAGGTGGAAACTGAGATGTGATGTCCTCTATGTTACTCAGCTGAACACCTGCAGAGAACTTAGTTTAAATTAAAGACAGTTAGAAAAAAATCCTGCACAAATTACAGCAATGCAGCCTTGAATTTGTTATTCAAAAAAACCCCATCAATGACCTTGTGTTGCCTGACTATATGGGCAGCTGTGCAGCTTCCATTCATGTTTTTCTTTGAGGTTTCACTGTTTGGAAAGTGTTCAGTGACCCTCACAGTCAGTCTGCTCATTCTCAGTGCATGTCTCACTTCTGGTCACATGGCTCAGCCGACTCATCTCAGCCAACTAGCCTCAACTTCCTCCCTATTTCCACTAAAGCAGGAAGCAGGAGATGAGAAAGTATCACACATCTGCAAAATGCAGCCCCCAGCTCTATTAATAGCGTCATTCAGTTAAGAAGAAAAAATGTGACCAAACTTTTTATTCCTCTTATCAGTCTCTGTTGACTGCCTTGCTTAAGGATTCCAGCTCAGGGGTTATGTTTGGTCAGTTTGTGAGTCTGCCTCTGATGTCCAAAACTTCCCCTTCAAGCTGCAATTACAAATAATTCCCCTTTGTAATGGAGTTCTTATTATAGGCAGGTGGGTAATACATTTTGTCCTGCAACTTTGTAACTAAAGTCACCACTCCGAATGGTCCGCAGGCATTGTCAAATTACAGGATGTGGTTGTTACAGACAGGGGTAGTCCGTGGGAAAATGTGTGACCAGTGGCTTATCAAATTCTATAATAATATCATGAGTTTACAGTCAGATCATCAGACAAAAACAGTTGCAAACTACTTAGATGACTTTTTTCTGTATTGACAGTTTACAATAAGAAAAGGACTGAAACTTGATGACAGTTATTTAGCCAATAAGCCACGAGAGGCTGTGGTTTACAGCAAGTTTAGAACAGTTAAAGGGCGTTATTCGGTACAACATGGAAAACCATGGCCTCAAGTGGCTCGATGCTTTTATAAAATGGTAACTCTGTACAGTATACCTGGAAATGTTTCATAAAATAAACACACAGCAACAAAAGAACACAAAAATGTATTAATAACAAAAGTCAGACTTTCACCACGCTAAGTATTTTTTCAGCGACATTCAGCAGAAATGACTTTCATTGTTCTGTTATCTCAGACATGTGTTAGGATGTTACATACCTTGACATGTTTCTGCGGAAACTTCCACCTTCCTCAGAAGTGTCACTTGGTGGTTGTTTATGACACGCTGCCTGCTGTCAGTCCGCCGCCTCTCCAGGACGCAGCTCCAGGTGTGGGAGAGCATGTATGCCCCGTATGAGCGATCGTCCTGTCAAAACTGACAGGATGGTCACGCCTCGGTTAAGACGCGTCACAACCACCACCAAGTGACACTTCTGAGGAAGGCGGAAGTTTCTGCCGAAACATGTCAAGGTATGTAACATCCCAACACATGTCTGAGATAAAAGAACAACTAAAGTCATTATCAGAAACTGAAGACATAATGAATACCATTGAACTATTCAGCAGAAATGTTGCCAAGCAACTGGCAGCTGCTTTCCAAATCTATGGTAATGTGGAGCCAAAAAACGTTCACCCCCATGGGCCTCTAGTATACCTGATGTTAGGAGAAGAGGTTGCAGTTACATTGTGACCACTTATGTATCTACCTTCAGTAAATATTATGTTCACTTTTCCCCTGCTTATCATTTGCCAGTGATGGGGCTGGGTAATGTTTAAAAAAACAAAAAAAATCACGATACCAGTACCCAGTGCCCTTAAAATTTTAACGATACCAATAAAATAAGTCATGCGATACCTATCATGTGTACAGAAGCATTCAGTTGTGTTAAATACCACCGTACTTTTGAACATTTTAGTGTCATCTTGGCATGCTAAACACCATCAAATTCACCGAACTCAACTTCACCACACCACAGAATGTGTGGGTTGGATCAAACGCAAGTTTTAATACTACTTTAATACTACTACATAGTGTGATTACTTGCTAAGTAACCAAGCTAAACTGTTTAAAAAATGATAGTGCAAGCAGAGAGCAGAGAAAAGTGAGTGTAATAGGCTACAGAGATTAAAGGCTTGGTGTATTTGGCGGCACCAATGACAGGTATTTCTCCAGTGAAGACACACAGTGGGTTCTCTCAAATATTAATCCCTGTAGACTCTGTGGCATCTTTGTGTTGATTGCGCAGCCATTGCATTACAGCATTGCGTACTTTTGACCGTGTCCTGGCATGCTAAGTTGCTCACAGTGATTGTGCGAAGTGATCATAGTTTTGTTAGTGTGCGAGGTATTAGGATTTTTACCAGATGATGGCACTAGAGGGAAAGTTAAGGGATCCCCAAAGTCAACTGTATTAATCCTCTGGGGACCATGAACGTCTGTACCAAATTCCACAGCAATTCATCCAGGAGCTTTCGAAATACGTGGAACAAGTGGCGGACTGACTGATGGACCATCATTGCTATCGTCACACCACTAGCATGGCTAAAACACAAGTTGTTTGTACTAATGGAAATTAAATTACTGAAGTGCAGGGAGAAAAAAATCACTGGATTTCTGAAATCAACCTCCCCCAGTGAAACAAATCTACAAATCATAAAGTAACTTGACAGCTGACTCAGAGTAATGTCTCACGAGGCACCTAAGCACATAAGCAAGGACCCAGTTTGCTTTAGAATAGTTCATATTTTGCTATCTATCCTCTTTGAAGATCACTGCTCTCACATTACACATACAGGCATGTGGACAACATTAAAAGCTCAGGGTATCGTATCCTCGTCCTCCCGCAGAGAGTCCAAGCCAGCTGATAAAGATATCTAGGTGACACCCAGTCGTTTTGCTTACAAACATTCACCGTCAGACTCTGAGGTCCCGATAAGCACTCTGCAGTGCCTGAGGGGGGAACTGCAGCCAAAAGCTGTTGGAAAAATCTGGAGTTTAGGAAAGCACCTGGAACCGGTCCACTCTCTTACTAGGGGTCACTGAGTTTTGTCTGGAGGCTTTCCCTACTGTAGCTGTTAACAATGCTGCTGCTTTCCTGCAGGCTATGGCTACACATACGCACACACACACACACTCAGAGCTCCCAATAGAGGTACAGGGACAAATTTGGAAACCATGCCTAGTGTGAAGTGGCACAAAATGGCTGCCGCTTTACCTCAGGTGGGTGCAGGGTTGCTTGATGCAAGACAGGAGGAGTTAAGTTTGTTTTTTATTTCGACAGGATGAAGGGGGGAGGGGTGGTGGTGAATATCAGTGATAATCATCTCATTATTACTGCATGCACATAAGATATCTGGCACGTTTGATCCAGTGTAATGTTTGTTATTGTAATAGGTACTCCTGTACGCACACCCACACATGTGTACATACAGTATTTTGTGTCCCTGGTGGATGGCTGTGGAAAGACTGTGTGATGTGGGTACACCAAAATGGGAGCAGGGAGACGTGTCCTGCCAGATATGATTTCATGTCTTACGTAAGCCTAAGATGGGGGCAGAGAAGTATTAACCCTGTGTGTGTGAGAGAGTGTGTGTGTGTGTGAGATGCCCCCCCCCCGCCCCCCCCAGCTATGGTGACATTTACCCGGTGTTGCTGGCAGGTAAAACCGCATGCAAAAAAACTGGGTGGGATTTATGTGTGTGTGTGTGTGTGTGTGTGTGTGTGTGTGTGTGTGTGTGTCTTTTTATGTTTAACCTTTCTAAGTGGATTTCTGCTGTGTGTTGTAGGTGGTGACACTGTGGTACAGAGCCCCTGAGGTGCTGCTCCAGTCCAGTTACGCCACGCCGGTGGACCTGTGGAGTGTCGGCTGCATCTTCGCTGAGATGTTCAGGAGAAGGTGAGAACAAAGGGGATTTTGGTGTAAACCCATCATATGTAGTTGCAGAACTACATTGTCATAAGCTGTTTTCTCGTATGAGCTCTGGACAAAATATGGAGACTCGGGTCCAGAGTTGTCCTCTCACACATGTAGCACACAACAGGAGACTGCAGGTTAAACGTGCTCTCAAGTGGAAATACTCTCTCTGGAGAGCATGCAGGAGGACATGACACAAAAAGTATGCTGCGGAAATCGGTCATAAACAACCAAGACTGTTGCTGCTCCTCGAATTTGTGTGATGATTTTGATGACGCCACTTAAGGCCCAGATACACCAAACATCAAAGAACCAGTGGCAATGAAGGCCAACTGTTGTGTCGTCTTACATCACCTGTGTCTCAGCCAAAAAATTGCACTTGAACACACTGCAAAGACTACAGCCAACGGACAAGTAGCACGTATGTTCTGCACCTGAGTGAGAGGAAATAACTCTCCATAGCAGCAGGTGGTAGTAGTCTGTATTCGTCATTCAGAAAGGGAAAAATCGGAAGACCGGCAGGGCGGCTTCAATACGCTAGTTAGCCACTTAGCACATCAACAACACAGCCTGTGAAAGAGCAAAGGATATTTACTGTGCGCCAGCCAACAATAATAGAAATAATTATGGATAGTCTTTGCTAAAGAGCTCAATGGTTAAACAAAATATTCTCATCCTAATACAAGTTTGTTTTGATCTCACACCCGCTCGACTTTATCCGTTTGTTTGCTTTCCTCAATTCCGTTTCTCTTCTCACGCACTGAGCTGAACTGCCAATCAGAGTAATTTCTCTCACCGACGGTCTCCACCGCCTGCGACGCTGATTCAGTTTGCTGAATCAGCAAAAAATAAAGCTGTCAAAGGCTGATTAGAGCCAACGTTGCAGGACACAAAAACCAGGGCAATGAATGCACAACAGCAGCCCAGTGTTGACCAATTACTGACTGTCTGCTTGTCGTCTCTCCAGTTCGATATTTTCTGTTGGCGTCTCCATGTAAATTACCCTTCTATTTCACCATCAGATGTTTGTCAGGCCAGTCGCATGATAGATATGTCATCAACAAACCTACTTGCTGCCTGTGAATTCTGACTTGCTCTTTTCACAAATGGGCTTAACCGGTCATTGCACGGACACTGTACCAGGGACCTGGCGGGGTAAAGTCCATTTAAGGTCAGATTCAACTGATGGAGACTTTTGCGTGCTCACATAAGCTCCGTCGGACAATGTCTAGATAAGTTCAGGGTTGCAGTGCATGTGTGAAAGGGGCTTTTTAGTGAATGTACTGTTATATCCTCCTCTTTCACTTTGCATCTTTTGCGTTTAAAACACCTGAAAAGTTTTTGCAACTGACAACTGACTGGTGGTGAGGCACCATGTCAACAGGGAAAAGGTCACTCACTCCCTGACCTAACTGAGCACAATATCTTTGCTACATAAAGTCCCCATTTGTGATTTTCAAAGCTTTTATGTGTCTTTACAGAAAGGTGGGTGCTAACAAGTAGCTTTAAGAGACTGCAGAGGTTGTAGGGGTCATTAAATGTCATCACGCCGAAAACTCCCTTTACAGCGTAGTTGTGGTGGTGATATTGAGGTCATGTGACCACAGTGTAGTTAATTTATAGCCTAATGTAAGCATTTCACTTGTGGCGATTGCATTTACACTTCGTTAAAGTGGTGTTCATTTGTGAAGATCATGTTGCTGAACAAAATGTGTGAGTAACTTTTGTTTGCCAAAGATCTAATTTTCTGTTAGTGTTGCGCTTGAATATTGGTGCTGTGGTCTCTGTATTACCTGTTTACTTGCATTCCAATGTATATTTAAAAAAAAAATGGCCGCCATTGTTACAGAATCCGTTATTCGGGTGTTTCTTAAAGTTGCCATCTTTCTCTCACAATGACACCTGTCAGCTGCATTATGAGCAGTGAGCAATCACATTTCAGTTGACTTATCAAACCATTACAGTAATGCCAGGCTGTCTGCTGTGGTTGCAGCATGCAAGTCAAGATCCTGCTTCTTGGTGTAGGTATCTGTCAGTTTGTGGTCTAACGAACTTTACACACTGGAGAGCCAAGCTAATAACGGACCACTTTTCTAAAAAGAAAAAAAAAACAAAGGTTCAACTGCCAGCTTGTGGAAGACAAAATACATTTCCAGGACATACAGACATATTTTATCACCATAGCATGAATCTAATGTTAACATTTATGTGCCATATTATGTACAAAACTGTGTCTTGTAAACAGCAGTGAGCTGGGGTCTAGCCAGACTGTAGTGGTGTGCATTGGAGTAGATAAGAACAGTCTTCTCTGAGGTAGGGCTGAGTGCCAGGAGGAGCAGCCCTGCCTATAATTTATGCTTCCTTCCCCAACCGTCCTCACACCCTAACATGCACAGCCACACACAACGACCCATGCTCTGCATGTGGGACTCAGTGGGACTATATAGGCTCTCGTGGCAAAGGGTGACACAGGGTGAAGAGGCTGTGCAGACATGTGGCATACAGGCGGATGACAAACATAAGCATATAGCCTTCAAACATATAGCCTTCGCATTTGCCCCATGTGGCCCAGCCTGTTACATACCCCCATTAGGTTGATGGTTTGACCATGTCCTGGATGTAGAACGGGCCTGAGCCTTTCACAGCATGTAAAGCCAGTACCAGAGTCTTGAGTTGGATTCTTGCAGCCACCAGGAGCCAGCACAGGGTCCGAAGGAGTAGGCTACAGTAAAATGTCGATCAGAACACATTATAGGTGCTTTTCATTTGCCAACGTGTTGCCTTGCTTCCCCCACTGTCTCTTCTTTGTGTCGAAATTCATTGGGCAGACGAGCCGAGAAATCCTTGGTTCTAGAACCACGTCACAAGCAACATCAGTCGATTAAAACTGTGTGCCACGTGTGGAGATGAGGCATTTGTACATCACACCAGTTCATAAAAAACGTTGGCATAGGATACCTGCTTTTGCATGTTCCAAGGTCCTCCAGAAGCTTCCTCTCTGCTTGTCTCCTTGAGTTGCGTTTAAGGCATCGGAACATCCTCCATGATGGTAGAGGGGGAACTGTTTCAGGGTCATGGTGGAAGAGAGGACAAGAATAACTTGTCACTGGACTAAACATTAATTAGCGCATACAGCACGTAACGTTAGTCGCATAATACCTCAGTCAGGCCCTCACTGATATGAGTGGCGGTTGGATGTACTTAATGCCATACTCAACATGTGTCAACACATCATGAAAAGCTCAAAGTGCATTTCGCGGCCGTGTCAAACGTTTAAACATGCACTGAAGAATTTGTGGCAAATGATCCTGTAATTGAGCATCTCACCACCAAATAACCAAGCGTCAACATGAAGTACCAGCAACATGTATGTATCACGTGCAGAGGATCCAGCAGGCGCAATCTGAGGTTGGCAATCCTGCCTTGTCTGATAGCATTAAGGTGTGTGTGAGAGTGTTGTCTGGGTTAAGGTACTGACACAATGAGCTGTAAAAAGCTTTGGTGTGGATATGTGTGTGTTTTCACAATCTGGCATCTGTCCAACTTTGCCCTAAGGCGGAAAGCAAGGCAGAGCCCTTTGATGGCCATGAACAGAACGTACACACTCTCTTGCTCTCTGTGGGTGATTAAGATGGCTTTTTAAAAGGCCACCTGTTGGAGATTAAAGGGCACCTGGGAGAAGCAGTGAAAGGAAGCAAAAGAAAGAGTGATTTGAGGTAAAGTGCAGAACAAGGGAGGATGAGAAAACACAGTTTATTGGTTTGCAGTTTTGTTGAATTGGAGATTATATTCGTTGACAGCTCAGTTTAAAGAACCAGACATCCCCTGTGGTGGTTTAACTGCCTTTAAATATAGTTTGTATCTAAACCAAATGCTTTTTATTTTTCGGGAAGAAACAAATACATCAGCTAAGAAATATCATTTGCACAATTAGTCGATTGATCTGTTAGTCCATCAACAAATTCATTGCCAACAGTTGTGATTTATCTTGCAGAATTGTCCAATATTTCCTGGTTCCTTCTCTTCTGAATATCTCTGATTTTGGACTGTTGGCCAGACAAAACAAGCAATCTGAAGACACTGCTTTGGAAAATTAACCAAACTAAACTAAATGAAATTACAAGGGATGTGAGTGGGTAGTCAACAAGTCGATCAAACAGTGCTATCCTTTCCAGTCAGCACTAGAAATTCTAGCCAGTTAAACTCATTATTAAGATACCCAAAGAAAAACAAAAGGAGTTTGTATGAGCATCACACAAACCAGTGGCTCCCCTCTCTTTGTCGTAGAGCCGTAATATACTTGCTGCAAACAACGCGACCGCATCGTGGCTGCCATGCATGATCTGCGCTCATTTGATGCGTCGGCCGCACATCTCAACACGAGGTACCGTGCAACATGCAATATTGACATGACCGCTAGAGGCGCTTGTGCGAATGAACACGGTGAGTCGCTGTCGGAGCAATGGCGGAAACTTCTGAAGAGAGGCTGACAGACCTGGTGCGGAACTACCCGCATCTCTGTGATGTTTCCACGCCGTTACATAGTGACATAATTCTTCTTCCTCATCAAGCAGATCAAGGGCATGCATGTTTGTTTCCCAGCATGCACTACCCGATTTCCGGGTTATATTTCTGTCATCTGCCCCAAGTGGAGACCGCCAGTATTGTGCGTTTTGGCTGCGTAGTGCTGCAGCAAGCATATACACAGACATGATGCAGTGTGTATGCGTATGTTCGATCAAGCGGCAAGTATATTACGGCCCTTAGTGTGTCTCTGTCTCCTCCCTGTCTTTCACACACATGCACAAACACACAGGTGCACTTTCAGACTCACGTGCATGTCCGGTTTAAGGCCATAGCTATCCACAGAACACAGAAAATATGTCCGAGCCTCACACACACTCATGCTGACTAGATGTCTTCTCGCCAGACAGAACAAGAGAGGTACATACAGGCTTGTCATATGTTGGGTACAAAGGAGATCCTGAGAAGCCTTGACATAGGTATGTGTGTGCACAGTCATGCATTTGTGAGATTGTTACTGTGCGAGTGTGTGTGTGTTTGAATGGAGATGAAAGAGGACGTTAAATACAAAGCAAAAAATGTTGTTTGTTAACTTAATTTACTGAGTTGTCAAGTTTTTTAGCATAGTGTGAATGCATAATGCACAGTGCAAAGTGCCACATATCAGCAGCATTTAAAGTATGATTTAGTTATATAAAAATGCGATGAATGATTTCATATGGTTCTTATTAAGTATGCAATATATTTTGGGACAGTGTTTAACCGCGTAGATAAAATTCTGCTCAATTTTGACTACTGTTTCCGATGTGTTTGTTTTTAGACCCGTCGTCTATTCTTAGTTGTGTCAGGGAAATTAGTCCTCAGGAAAATCCCTTAAAATGCCCCGCTGAGCCGCAACAACCCCATTTCACCCTGTTGTCTTATGTTGCAGGTCAGAAAAGTGCAAATCCAACCTCAAAAAAACATCTCTCTTATGACTCATGGAACTTCAAAGCTTTCCCCCTCAAGCACCTTCCTCTCCCCTCTCCACTTCCATTATCAAACATGCCATTGTAAAAAAAACCCTCCTTTAATAACTATCTACTGTAGCCAGAATAGTTAGGAACTTGTTGTCAAAAGAATTTAAGCAAATATTATACAAGTCTGCATCTGCATGGCTGGGATAGTGTCAGGGTGAGTCATGGATCGAGTGAATGGGGGAGAGAGCGCCTGCTTGTTGACATTCCTCCAAATCGAAAAGGCTGAACGTGTTGTGTTAATGGTCTGGGAGAGGCTCCACATCCGTGTTGACTTTCTCACAGTTTGGACCTCAATTGATAAATCCTCAAAGACGCAACCTTACATGCACGTGTGTTTGCACACTCACATGTGCAGCACCTCCAAACTCAGCACAGAATTGCATGTCCACGCAGTTCACACTGACGCAGGCTTAAACACAAGCACACACTCCATTTCTCTCTCTCTCTCTCTCTCTCTCTCTCTCTAGCTCTCTGTTTCCCACCCAGTCAGATTGACGCTCTCACGTGCAAACATGCACACACACATTCCAGAGGTTGTCTCTGGGAGGAATGTGGGACAGAGCTGTGTTGGCACTAAAGGAAGCGTGACTCAGCTGCCTGTCCCAACCCAGTCTCAGTCCTCCTTTCACTGCCACCCGTTTGTTTGTGTGTGTGTGTGTGTGCGCGCATATGTACCTGTGTGCACATGCAAATCTCCTAGTGGGAAACTGTCCCCTTTGTGCGTGTGTGTGCATTTGTACACTCTTTTCATGTGTGTCTACTTGAGTGTGTGCAAATGTGCATTTGCACTCGTCTGTTGACTGTGTGTGCATGCCAGTGGCCAGCTCTGTGTGAATCCAGTTATCCCCCTCCAACAAACCAACAAACCACTCCAGGTTTAAAAATGGACCTCTTGGAATTATCAGCCCTACTTGTTTTGGCACGATGGCTTTGCTGTAGGTGAATTTTTTTTTCTTCTTTTGCACAGTCAGAACTGGTTTGGTCTGATCTTAAATGGCTTCCAAACTTCAGCACAGTGCTTCACCCCGAAAGACCTATGTGGTGTGATCCTCTCTCAGTCAGATGTTTGAAGCAGAGGTTTAAGAGTGAGGAAACACGGAGACATCCATTAGTTAAGGATGCCAGTGGCAAATAATTGAAACAAACTCTGTATCTCAATTCCACTTCCGAACTAGGCATGTGACAGAGAGTTAGCTGTCGCTGTATAAAAGTGCAAAATACCCCTGTGTGACTAATTTCCCAGTGTCTGAGTCTGTAGGAAAGTGTGGGTGTTGAGCTATGCAAAGCTTCCTGCAAGTGGGAAAACACAGGGAGCACATGGTGGCTAGCCAGTCTGTTGACTTGAGTTAAGTGGGGTCCACTTGAACTGTATTTGTGCCTGGATACAGAATGCATACACACATACATACAAGCACACCTATGTGACAATATCCTGCATTACATTGACATCTGCTGGTGGCTAAATCATTTTAAAGAAGTAGAATATAACACAATGAAAGCTCCTCTGACCCCAGTGCATTAGTGTCATTTTAGAGTAACACATTCAGAGGAGTAATCTGGTAGCCATCTTAGTGTTAGAGGAATGTCTTCTCTTTGACAGCAACATCTCTTTTCAGAGGAACTTCAGCAGGAAAGTTCAGTTCCCATACCTCTTTCACTGTTAGAATAATCCAGCGTTTCTGTCACACGCCTTTCCCTCCCACTTTCCTGCACACATTCACACAGAGAGAGAGAGAGAGCGAAAGCAGACACCCACACACACGAGGGATAAATAGGCTTTTTTTTTGTCTGTACCGTGCGGCGGCCGGCAGGCTTGTGCTGATGATGACTACTGGAATTTGTGCGGGTGCCAGGCCAGGCATGGCCGCCCACGGGCATCCAAAGACGGCCCAAAGCCACAGGAACCACCAGCAGCCCTGCTGCCGCTCAGCTCCCTCCTTTCATCCCTCCCTCCCCTTTTTCAGTGGTACTACCAACACTGCTTCACAATCCTGACTACATGTGATGGAGCTACCAGTGTGTGGCTACTTCAAACGCTCACATCAGAGTCAAACATTCCTCTTTGCCTTGAGCCAATAGCTTATATCTAAGGACTGTGTGTCTGCAGTGTACCGTGGGATAGTGAGCATCAGGGCTCGTATCTAAAGCAGATTAATACACCTTTTACCAAAAATACATTTAACCTTTTCCTTTTTCTGCAAGCGTAATGTGCTGTACAATATATGAAGACATCGACTCACGCAAATGCTCAAACAGCAGCAGTCAAACTGATCTTTGTTTATTTTCTCTTTCCCAGACCGCTATTTCGAGGAAACTCAGATGTTGATCAGCTGGGAAAGATTTTTGAGTAAGTATTACTGGCTGTGTTTCCTATTGGAAAGGTCCTGTTTGTTATATTTAAAGGTCCAGTGTGTAGGAGTTAGGAGAAGTGGTATATAATATTCAAAAGTATGTTTTCAATAGTTTATAATCACCTGAAAATAAGAATGGTTTTGTTTCTGAGACCTTAGATTGAGTTGTTTATATCTACACAGAGCAGATCCTCTCCCATAGAGTCGTTTATGTTGTTTCTACCAGAGCGGAAAAATCAAACACGGGAGAAGTTTTAAGTTCTGCAGCCTCAGCGCTACATGTCACTAATCTTACACACTGGATCTTTGATTTCATTTTGCTCAAAGTAATCGCTCACCATGTCTCTTCTGCCAACAACACAAGGTCTCTCTCTTTCCCCTCATGCCATGTTTATATTTATATCCTATTTATTTTATTTTAATCTATATACGCTTCTATTTTTTTATTTGATTGTAAGTTTAATTATGTTTAAAGTTTAAAAATCCACTGTTAAAAAAAGACTTTAAAAAAAGGTGTTTCCAACGTCAATGAGACTGATCACTGATGTCAATGAACTAATGACAGTCACACTCCCACAGTGTTGTTGGGGTACCTTCAGCAGAGGACTGGCCCCAGGAAGTGGCCCTACCACAGAGTGCCTTCACCCCCCGGCCCCCTAAGCCAATAGAGGACTTGGTTCCAGACATGGACGAGCAAGGACGGGCCCTCTTAATGGTGGGTAGCACTCTGTTCAAACCAATACTTATTTGAGCGATTGGCAGTTTTCTCACATCCTAAAAGTCATTAGTCCATCTCATCGTCCTTTTCTCTCCTCTTTCCTCTGCAGCAATTCCTCGCCTTCAACCCTTCCAGAAGGATATCGGCTTTTGCTGCGCTCAGCCACCCCTACTTTCAGAGTGTGGACAGCCACAGTAGAAGTGTGTACGCAGCCCAGCCCATCCCCAGCAACAAGCCCACTATGGAGGAGAGGACTGCCTGACAGCCCTCCTTCCCACCTAATCATCCTGTACAGTGTCTATAAAAAGTATTCTGTGTACCCCGCCTTGGTGTTTTTCATGTTTTGTAGTTTTTTTTAAATCAAAGTGTGTTAAAGGGACAGTTCACCCCCAGATGAAAAATACAGATTTTCCTCTTACCTGTAGTGCTATTTATCAATATATATTGTGTTGATGTGAGCTGCTGAGTGTCGAGATGTCAGCCATAGAGAAGTCTGCCTTCTCTTCAATATAAAGGAACTAGATGGCACTCAGCTTGTGGTGCTTAAAGTGCCAAAAAATACATTTCTCTTTCCAGAAATCATGACCCGGTTGCACAAGATAATCTTCATGTGAGAACTATTTTCTGTCTACTAAACTTAACCGGCCAACCACGCAGAAGGAAGCGTGCATCTATCATCCACTGAACTAGCTAACGTTACAGCTCAGCCAAGGAGGACAGCATTAATGTTTACATCTCACGCTGTCAGGAGCACAAGCCTCTCGTCCATGAGTAGATGCACTCTTCCTTCTGCGCTGTGATACAGTTTGCAGGTGTAGTTTGGTAGAAGGAAAAATGTTCCTCCATGAACCTGGTCACAACAACGTCTGTGGATTATCTTGAGTAACTGGATCATGACTTATTGAAAGAGACGCAGTTTTCTGGTGCTTTAAGCACCATGTGCCGAGTGCCATCTTGTTCGATTATATCGGAGAGAAGGCAGACATCTCCATGGCTGATATATCTACCACTTGGTAACTCACACCAAAGCAGTTTAGCTTGATAAATAGCACTACAGGTAAGAGCAAAGAATGTATTTTGGATCTTGCAGGTGAGCTGCCCCGTTAATAAAGCTCTTTTGACACTGATATGCAGATACATCTTAAACAAGTAAAAAATAATTATGTACAAAAAGATGTTATTTAGGTACAAGTATAGAACAGATTTATATGGCGGCATGTAGAGGCATTTTTGGCGTCATTTACAGCCTTGAGCTTACATGATTGCATCGTTCTTCATTCTGCAAAAGCTCGGTCAGGCTTCGTGGTGAGCGTGACAGAATCTGCTGTAGAAAACTGCTGTTCAGTCTGGGTTGTGATTTGGCCACTTGAGTGTGCAGATTTAGGGTTAAGTTTGCGGGTTTCTGTTGCTCTCCTAACATGGTGGCAGGTTTTTCTTGAAGATTCTTATGTGTTATGCATGATGCTATCAACGCCAGGCTTTGCATAGCATTTAGTTTGTTGGTCAAAAAGCTTGATTTTGGTGTCACCCCACCATGAAGCCTTCTTTTACTCCCATGTGCCTCTGGGCAAATGCAAGCAGAAATGTCACGGGATTTTCCAACAGTGGCTTTCTCTTTGTCGGTTGACTGTGAAGCTAGAAATGCACCCAAGCTGCAGTTGCTGTAGGCGCAAACTCCGCCATCTCAGTTAGGGAACCTTGTTCCTCCGTCACTGTCGACTTCATTGTGGCCTTATTGCCTTTGTACACATAACCTTTACACAGATTTGTATGCTATACTCAAGTGCCTTCATACTTAACCAGCATTCTTCCAGCATTGGGTCTTTTCGATAACCGTGTTGATATTGCCTCTCGTTCTTTTTAACGTTTTTTTTTTTTTGGTAATCAGTGTCAAAAAAGCTTTATCAACCATGATTTTGTGATGTACAAAAATGAAACGGACCAAGGGGGCAAATACTTTTTTATAGTCAATGTACAAAGCGCTAGGAAAGCACTCCCTATAGAGAGGGTAAAGATAGTGTCCAAAAAAAAGATGACACCAACACTCTCACCCCCTGAAAAACATGCACAGAAGCTATCGTCCTTCCATGAACTGATGGATTGTAATTGCTGCTTTTAGGTTGTTAAATGTTGATGATTGACTGTGTTAACAATGCAAAGAGACTTGCATCTCAGATTGACTGGTAGAAATGGGCAAGTGGGGCTGTGGAGGCCATGAAGCAGAGGCCTCCTTATGACCAGTATTTCCCCCTCACATAAGCCCTCTTGACCGGGGGGCCGGACCACACAGGAGCCTGGATGGACAGCGTGGATCTCACCTGCCTTTACGCTCACTGTGGGTGTGTGCAGTGAGCAGATACACAGTACAAGCATGCTCACACCATTTAGTGTGTGCACTACCACTGACATTAGCACACTCATGTACACACCTACTTATTGAAACATTATTGGGCATCACAAGCCAGCCTCTCACTGCCATGTTGTGTCTTTATCATTCCAATCCTACATGTATAATAGTACTGCCACCTTGAGGATGTCCTGAGTAACTGCAGACCAGTAGCGGGATTCTAATGGTTTCTGCTCTCTTCAAGGAACTCAACATAACTGGGCTGATATGCTGAGACAATGATGAAAGAAGCTAATGGAAAGGTTGCTGCCACTCACTAGTCTGCCGTCATGGGCTTTTATCATTATACAATTATTATGTACTATCTGAATGATACAGTAATGCACAGGCTTGCAATAGGTGGAGAAAGTCCCACCAGCACTATTCAACACGAATTCATTTGGCACAGAAAAGTGTCGCCAATGCTCTATATTTAATTTTAATTTTATTGACAAGTCTTATATGCTTGTTTTCATCAAGTTGTTGCTTGATTATTTTTTAAGATGCTGGGGCATACAATATTCTTACACCAATTACACCAACTCTTTAGATGATTATAGAATTTGTGTAAGAATAGTTTGACAATGTAAGGAATGTATAAAGGATAGGCATTGGTACTGTACAGTATAGAGTGCTACATACAAGCTGTAAGGATAGAAAACTTTTGATACGTGCATCGTCAGCCCATAGATATGTTGTCAAATGGATAGATGTAGAGTAGCGAGGGTCAGCGGAATGTTGTTTGGCAAGAGTATTTTGTCTATGAAAATGTCGGGTGGGCTCCGTGGGCGCTTGTTGAATTTCATTTGCATTGGTTTGAGAGTGACTATGAATTTTACAGTGGTTTTGATGATGAAATAATGCACAAATACTTTGTGTACAGTTTTTGCTTTATTTTACAATCATGTCCATTTATATTCAAGTTCAGTTTTTTTTTTTTACCAGCAAGGAAAAGGCAAGTATGCAGAGTTGTATTTTTGTATGTTGTAGTTCTTGCAGAACAGTAACATATTTTAACACTGGTTTACGTTTTCTAACAGGTAGTGCTGCTAGCACACACAACACAGACACACTCTTTGACTTTCTCAGGTTCTTGTTATGGATGTCCGAACCTTTCGGGCACAGTTTGCACATCTCTGGGCTACTAACAGACCACATCACCACTCCTTCAGGTTCTCTTTCAAGCTGTTCCACGATCATATCATTGATCACAGTCTACTGTCATTCCTATTTATCAAATATATGTTACTGTAGTCATTACTGTCTGAAGATAACTGCCTGTATCAACTGTTTTTGCCAGAAACTTTTAATTGCTAGATGGCGAACACAGTGTAGATTCATGTATAATTGTCTGCTTGACTAAGCACTGTGTGAATTTTCTGTTTGATAGCAAATCACGTCTGGTGTCAGTGTTTGCATACAATGCAATTAAGGCTCTAAATAGAATTAAAATAATGACTGTTAATAGCCTACATTTCAATCTCGTAACATGAAACTGTCCCACTGTTTTGAAACCATCATAGTTCCATCATATAACTCAGATTACACATATGTTCCTGTGTCACATGTGTTTTTAGCATATGGAAATGGTGACTATGAACAACACAATCATGGCATTATATGTAATAATGCAGGCATTGGTGTTTTATTATTGTGTTGCACCAGTTGAATAAAAAGCGGCTTTTTGTGAATGTTGTTGTAAGTCATTTGTAAGTGTGACTGACAAACTAATGAACTGTATGGGTATTCATATTTGGAATGAGGTAACATTAGAGGCAACACCATTGCTGTAGTAATTGTTATAAAACTTGCAGTCTGCCAGTCTTCCTTAATTAATGTGCTTCTACTTCATACCAGCACAAGAACATATATTTTTAAATAAATTAACATTTTTTTGTATAATTGAATTTGTGTTATGAGTCTTTTTCACTATAACTGAGCCAATTTCAGCACTAAAACACATACTGTAAAGGAGCCTGTTTTGATAGGGTGGAGGACTGAGTGTGGTATTTCTATGTATATCAGCACGTATTAGGTCAAAGAGAGTTAATGAGCAGATAAAACTGCAAAAGAAGCAATCAAAAAGAACCATATTGATACAAAACAGGCAGTGGGAAGACGAAGTGATTTATTTTCTAGCATTAAAAAAGAAAAAAAGCAGAAGTATTTATTTATATTTTATCACAATTTATTTTTTTTTATTTCATTAATAGGCTAATAGGCAGATTTTGTGTTCTCCAATGCTGAAACTAAACCTACACCCTTGCTGCATTATTAGTGTGACCTGTTGGTGGCGCTGATCCACCACTACGTTGTTTGCCAACCGCCAAACGACACCACGAAGAAGAGCCGTCTGCTACCATTAACAAAGTCTGATGTGGCTAGGTCAATGTTAGCAAGGTAGCACTAATGGTTGCCCTCTCTGTTGGATATTTTTCCCTATTACTAACTCAACATGGGCAAGAGAGACAATCGAGTGGTGAGTTCTGTTACTAAATATGTGTAAAATCGAGAAGCCAACGATACGCGGTTACATTTCGGTGCGGCAGCTAGGCTAAACACAATCAGCCTAGCGTTAGCGCAGCAGCTAGCATAGGCTAGTTAACGTTAATGTATGCTTTCGCTAGGTACTCTGATGTTGAGCAGAGACAGCGGTCCCTTAGAACATATATTAACATATTTGTGTTTAAAATATAACATAATATTTGTCATTTTAGGTTGCGTTTTCTCGGTTTGAGTCGTTTTTAGCTGACGTCAAAAGCCGAGTGTCAAGCTCGACCAGCGCTAACGCCACTGTCGTAAAGCTACGAATGCTAACGTTAGCTCATAACACACTGGGCAATGTCTCGACGTGGTGTTGTTGCGCAGTATTTTTCGGTGCATCTTGAGTTTACACACAGCATTGAAACACTGGCAGGGGGTTATTAAGCTAATGGCAGGGTTGGATAAAGGCTAGTCTGGTGTTTTGGGTGAGCTTTTTTCTAAAGCCCTGTAGCTGAAACACAGATTTTCCCAAACCACTGCTGAATGTGTCATCTGTATTTTCTGTTAATACGGGGAATAGAATTGCTTACTGACAGGTTTGGGGCAGGGCCGGAGAAAGTGGTTGTAATCGATCGGGACCCAGCCCTAACATAGGGGGAATTCATGTGCATGCTCCCTGGGGAGGATTGTGTTATCCATTTACTGCAGATAAATGCACTATTTGTCAGGTATTTATGATAATAGATTGCTGAAACACCTGTATATCGTTGGTAAAACATGATAGTTGTCTAGGAAAATCCTCCTGTAGAGCCTACCACTTATTTTCAACACAGTTGTCCTCCACTTGTCTCCATTATTATGAAACCATCAACCATTAAAATTGTCTGATGTGCCATAACATAGGTGGGGTAGGAATTTGGCCACAACAGCATTACTAATAGAAAAGTAATAGAAATTTTTGCTCCATTGATTGGCCCGTCCAGTCAGAGAGACTAAGGGCAAATAACACAAATTATGAGGTATTTTAGAAAGCTAAACGTTTCTGTGTTTTCGAGAAAACATTCAGGGCTGGAGCCCTTGAAGCCACCCCTTTGCTTCCCCCTCTGGTTTGGTTTGTCCACTAGCAAGTAGGGCTACAACGATTAGTCGACTAATCAATGACTAATCGACTATTAAAATAATCTGTGTCTATTTTAGTAGTCGACTAATTGGTTTGAGTCATTTTTCATAGAAAAGTACTATAAAAGTACCCCAAAATACTCTTATTGCAGCTTCTTACATTCAAATATTGGCAGCTTTACACACTCTCCCATGATGGTGAAATAAAACCCTTTGGTGTGAGTACAAAACAAGACATTAGATGACATAATTTGGGGGTTTGGGAGAGACAGACCGTCATTTTTCATCATTTTAACACATTTTTCGATTAAATGATTAGTCGACTAATCAAAGAAATAATCGACAGATTAGTTGACAATGAAACTAATCGTTAGTTGCAGCCCTACTAGCAAGGCCTACATCTAACAACTGTTGTAGTGTAGTACAACGCCCCTGCAATAAATCCTGTCTTCACTGAGGTTATAATGTCAATGTTCAATGAGTTTTTCCACAGACCCTTTTAAGAGAGGGGTTGTTTTCTTTCTTTTTTATGGTTATTTGGGGCATATATGTGTTGCTGTAAAACTGTATTGTAGTGTGCTGTTCAACAGCATAACTGTTTAATCGCAGCACCTTCTAAGCTTGCATCTGTATAATAATAACCTCCATTAAAAATATGTAAAATGCTTCCCTCTGTTTGGTCCCACAGGCTTATATTAACCCCATTGCTGCGGCACGAGCCAGGGGACCGGCAGCGAATGCTGGACCGACTATACAGGATTATTTAAGCAGACCTCGGCCAACATGGTGAGTAAAGGCCTGTCCTGACATAAATGAGACAGCATCTTTCTCACAGCTGCATTCCCCTGTCACTTCTCAGTATCATTTTGCTTCCATGTTGTTCATGTGAAAAAATAAATATAGCCTTTTAAGAAGCTTGTGCTGGGACGATGTGCAGTTTCCTAGTCCATGGTTCTCCCTAGAGACAGCCAGAATCAGCACTTGTCTTCCAGGCTTTGACAGATATAGAAAAGGTTTGATGTAATAACACTTCTCCCCATTGGCTCAGCATTAAATACTTAATGCTTAATGGGCCCTTAATGCACCCTTAGGTTTTCCTAAACGGATTTCAGTCAGTATACTTGTAATATCAGCATTATTCCAGGACGGGACACTTTCACAACAGCTAAGGTGTCTTTTTTTCCATTGCCCCGATGCATTGATAATAAATTATGTAGTTTCCACTGTCAGCCACATCGTCTAACCCTTTCACTTGTGTATTTACATTTATTGGTCCCCCCATGAAACATTCAAAACCTTTCTTTTAGCAAGAAGTGCTGTCCATTAATAATTTTGCTTTCTGCAAGCAATGAGTTTCCCTATCTGAGCCTCGTAAAAAATGAACTCCAATCTTAGCCACAAGGGGGAACATTTAATTCATTATCTGCTATGCTCCACTGCCAGCATGCTGAGTTCCATTTGCAGCATTACACCGGGAGAAACATGTTTACAATACAATATTGAAAGGTAAAAGGGACGTAAAATACCCATGTCTGGTACCACAATGTTACTTAAAGGGCTGCAGTGAATTATATTTTATTATAACTGAAACTGAAAACAGAAGAATTTTGATTCATTAAACAAATGCAGCTGGAAATAAATTGGACCACTGAGTCATACATTGTTTACTGTTAATTTATGCTGATGAAAAGTGGAGGATAAGTTTAAACGCTCCATCAGAGGAATGTTAAAATAAGTTTTATATTTTATATTGTGTTACAACTGATTTATTGTGTCTTCATCAGGGAAGAGCTCAAGGAGCAGCTAGAGAAGAAGAAGAAGGGCTCTCGAGCCCTGGCTGACTTTGAGGATAAAATGAACGTGGTATGTTTGTGTTAAGTACGCTGACATTTCGCCCTGTTAATAGTCACCATCTTTTCTTCACATTATTTTCAATCCTGGTTATGAGTGTCAAGAGTAAATAGTCCTGTAATGGCAGTCTTTTAACTGCACTTCAAACAATTCTTCATATTTGAATAAAGGTGTAGCTTCATATGGGGATCAATTAGCTGTATAATAGACAACGACTATTGTTTTTTCAGAAATGGAGGAAAGAACTGGCAAAAAACCGAGAGAAGTTGCTAGGCGGAAGTGACAAAGACAAAGAGCGAGACAAAAAGACAATGGACAAGGAAAAAGAGGAGAAGAAAGAGAAAAAAGAGGTATGGTATCTCTCCTTTGTCACACATTTGAATTCTCTCACTCTCAAACCATCACTTACTGATTTTGGCCTTTTCATTGATGTTTAGAAAAAGAAGAAAGAGAAGAAGAAATCCAACAGGGTGAGGAGAGACCTCCAGTATTTTAATGGCCAGCTGTGCCACAGTACTGACACACACACACACTCACACACTGCCTGCCTGTACTCTGAGATGGTCTCTTATTGTGTTCCAACTTCAAAACAAGCGAATAACCTTAAGTCTAATGAACCCTGCTTTCATTGTGTTTTGGTCAAGCATTCTTCATCTTCCTCCTCCTCATCGAGTTCTGATTCCTCCAGCAGTTCCTCCTCAGAATCTGAAGACCTGGTAAGTCAATACAGACTTCAGCATGTGATACTAGATATTGCCAACCACTGAACGCAGAAAACATTTTGAAACATTTCCTTGTAGATCCTGCTGTGCTGGATGACACTGATTTGCTGATTGCTTGTGGTTATAGGTGAATTCTAGGAATAGCTTCCTGTGTTCTAATAACAAGCAGTGGTGGAGCTGGTGATTCAAATCCAGTTCACTTTTTGTCAGTTCAGTATAACAACTCCTCACTGTCTGCTGGCTGTCCGTTTTGTGTGTGCGTGCTGAAAAAAATCCAGTGTTCATACACACCCCTGGCTCTGTAAATGTTAAACAAGCTAACACTTTCGAGTTGTGTTGTGCACAGGACAGGGGAAAGGCCATGGATATATGAGGAGAAAGGCAGTGGGAGTGAGGGATGGTAAAATGGAGCTTCTGAAGGAGCACTGGTGGGAGGGGTGTATTTGTTTGGGTGTTGAGTTCAAATATCAACAGCATTCCTCCAGAATTGCAGACTCCACCTTTTAAAGGAATACGTCACCCCCCAAATGACCATTTGTATATCTAATAACTCACCGTTTCAGGGTTTTCCCTGGCTTAGAAAGGGGCTTTGGTGGTGATGTCAGCGGTGCGCACTTTGCATTTGCATTTACAGGTCATGCAAATGTATTAAGCGATGCCATATCTTCTCTATTAGACGAGAGAGGTCCAAATAATACAGTACATTAGGGCTGGGCGATATGACCAAAATCTCATATCCCGATATAGGTCATTTCATATCCCAATAACGATACATATCACAATATAGCACATTTTAATCCAATGAATAAAAAGTTGTTTCACAGCGGTTATGTTCTAAAGCACAAACACGGCCACACACCCATACACCTCCGCTCCGTCTCTGCTCTTTCTCAGCGCTGCGGGGCTGAGCCCTCAGTGTATGCAGCGCAGCAGAGACAGGCAGCGATGGAGTTATATAAACTCGTTATGTTACTGTAAGTAGCACCTCAGGACCAAAACATGATCTCGCTTGTCACCAGGCTGGCAGTGAATGCACCAGCACCTGCGTTCTGAGCTGACGCGAAGCGTGGGGCTCAACACGTTACTTTGATCTTTGATGAATCAAAGAACTCGATAATTATTGGTCTAACGTCGCATCACCAGGCTCTCGTTATTGGTCCAAACCATGGTGATTGAACTATGAGTGGTTGCACTTAGATTTGATTTTTTTTTTGTTTTGTTTTGTTTTTTTTCCCTCTCTGCTTCCACACCCCTCTTTGGCAGAGGGGATTTTCCATTGGCAGAGGGCTAAAACGGCTTTGGCAGCCACCAAAATATTTTCTATGTAGGGAAAACCCAGCCTTTGTTAAGTTAGATGGGTGATGAAAGCTTTTCTCTTGCATGCCTTCATGGTAAACGAAGAATCCAAAAATGGAAAATCTTGTTGATCAATTGAAATCAGAGGAGACAACAGCAAAATTATATTAAAACATGCATTTATAAACGCTCACACAACTAATGCAGAATAATCCAAGTCTCATGTATCCAGACGCATGCACAGCAGGGGCGATTGCTCTGAGACAACAAGGGAGGCTGAACCTCCCCTAAAATTGCATGGAAGAAATGGTCAAATATGCACTATTGAATTTACATTAAAATAAGAATTTACATTGCATTAAACATGCGCTAGGATGCGTTTAACATCATGACTACGACGTTCAAACGTCAGCTGTTTATCACCAGTTTTTAAAAACGACCTCCCTGTCATACATTCTCGTGTCAGCACAGTGGACGCGGAACCTCCAAGCGTTCATGCAGCAAAGCGAGACGGTCGTTGGATAAATGCGACAAAATCGTCACTTCCAGGGAGGCTCAGCTTCCCTGGGACCTAATGGAGCGGTGGGCGGGAGAGGATGTTCGGTGTTTGCATGATGATTGGAGGAATAGTCTAAAAGGCTGAACCCCTTTGTGATTGACAGTGCTTTGGAAATACACACCGACATCGTCGCATTTCGAGCTCAGTCCCATGCCGATATTTGCGAGTGGAGTCTTCTGACAGAGTGCCGTCCGGAGTTCCTTATTTCCTTAAGTGATATAGCTCATTTTCACCGTTTTAGACACAGTTCAGGTGTTTAAACCCATCTGAAAATCTTTGAGGTGTGTTTTACTGTGGTTCTATGGCATGAGTGTGGTTGAAAAACGGCTTCAATTAAATGTTCCTTTTATAAGTTACTACCTCGCTACAATATGACAAATTTTATGATGTAAACTTAATGTGAGCTTCCCCTGTTTGAAAGACCAGCAGCTGCCACTGATGCACAGTAGAGGGCTGCATTGGGACCCGGCGGGACCCAACGCAAATATTGCGGGAGCGGGCGGTTTGGACTTTGCTGCGGGCGGGAACGGCCGGCTAAAAAAAATACTGCGGGATCTTGGTGCACATGCATAGGCGTTTCCACTCTATATTTATTCATAAATGGACATATATGCCCTGAACCAGCTTTCATACCAATTTGCCACTTGCGCCACCTGTCTGTCTGTCAGCTCCATCTGTCATGAGACAAACATGAAAGAAGACATGCAGTTTATTGTGTTTCACCGGCGACGAGCTGTCATTACACGCGACAGTTACGCACGGCTGCACGCTCTTTATAACTCACTGTGAACCTATGTTGCATAATAAAGATTTGCCCCCTCGTAATTTTTAACCGCCCCCTCAGTAACTTCATCCTGGCGCCAGGCTTGTCTTAACCTTAATCACTGCGTGATTATATAAAGGTAGAAAAATAAATAAAATACAGAGGAGGAGAATAGAATATGAAACAGCCTTTATTTCATTAAAAACTAAATGGAAACAACGAAATAGGAGCGCTATTCCTGACCAGTGTGTCAGAAGACATGCAGGCCAGGGAAACGAAACAAACAACCCCACGGATCTCTTTATTAATAGCCTATAAAATGACGTGTTTTCTCCTGCGGGACGGGAGAAGACACAAAATCATCGATCTCTATTATTGTGCGGGCATAAATTCTCAGAGTTTTGCGGGTGCGGGCGGGAGTGTAATACACATGTTGCGGTTGCGGGCGGTAATGGTCAGAAATTCAGCGGGAGCGGGCAGGAGCGGGTTTAAGAAAACAGTCCTGCGCAGGGCTCTAATGCACAGTACTTCCCAAACACATTGCATTACATTGTGGTCAGCGCTTTCAAACAGGGACTGAAAGTGAAACCTGTGCTTTCACTTTCAGTCCCTGTCAGAAAGGGTTGACGGTTTTTAGTGAGTTTGTAAAGGACGTTTTTATATAGTTTTGCTGTTCATCTGTGACTTCTATTTTATCAAAAATGTTCGCCATTTTTGGATTCTAAATTCATCAGAGGCATGTAAGAAGAACAACATTTTCTTTACGAATTCACTGTAGCACGGGGTGAGTAGTTGATAGTGGTCATTTTGGGTGGGTGACGTATTGCTTTAACAGCTGATCAGAAGTAGATTAGATTTTATATGGTTAAAACTGATCAATTTAAAGAAGGCTGTGATCTGTTTCCTGAGCAGTCCACTGTCTCGACTCAACAACTCCTTAAAGTTGTCTCGCACACATTACAGGACTACACTGTTTGATTGAATTTGTATTTGTGTACACAGGATGAAAAGAAGAGCGTGAAGAAAAAGCGGAAGAGAAAGAAGTCATCGGCCAGGAGAGCATCAGACAGCTCAGAGGAAGAATCTGATGCTGAGAGCAAGGTTTTACTTTTTCTTTTTTTAACAGTACAGTTGGTTTACCTTGTTTCAGTACACGTCAATAGAATCAGGTTCTGGTGTTGAAAATGTGCAGTCAAACAGTTGTCCTACAATGATGTCAAGTTTTTTTTTATGTAAATGTTTAATCTAAATGCTTTCTTCCCAAGAAGAAAAAGAAAAGAATCAAGGAAGAAGGGGACAAAGAAAAGGTAATTTTCTGTTTGATGGTGTTGATTTTGTTGATCTTTTGTTGAGTCATATTTCCACATATATTAGCTTTTTTAATTTGCATTTCTTCTCCCAGTTTGAGTCTAAACCTTTTGAGTCCAGGTGTTACAAAGCACTCAAACCTGTGATGTAAATCTGTCTGTCAGGATGACAAAAGCCGTAAAAGAAAAAGGAAGGCCGAGCGAAGTTATAGAGACTCATCGTCAGAGTCCTCTGCCGAATCTGAGGGGGAAGACGTAGTAAGTATTATTCTTGTGTGTTCGTAGATGGGCAGTGAACTTCTAATTAAACTATCTAAGTAAAAGCTCTGAAAACATTGATGTAACACATTTCTTTCACGCTTTTATAGCTGTTATGTGACAATTTTCCTCACTACAAGTTAAGTATGCCACTAGTCCCGCTTGCAACGAGTAAACCAGACATGAGAAAATTCCACCCACTCCCAAAAGTCCTTTCACCTCCTGTCTCTTGTGTTCCTCTTCTTAAACTCTTTGTTCCCTTTTTAATTCAAACGAAATCCTATTAACTATCTCAGAAAGTAGTCTTTTGCTACTGACACCAAAAACTGCCAGTGTAAAATGTTTTGCAGCTTTCAACAGATTTTGCCATTTTTATCCTTTTAAATATTTAGTTAAAGAGAACATTACACATTTCGTAGTCTAGTTTTAGTCAACAAGACACCTTATATTTCAGCCTTGTTTAGTCATAAATAAAAACTGAACATTATAGTGTACTAGTGTAGTGAACATGTTTCATTGTAAGCATCTGATGAGACTGTTTAATCAGACTCGCTGTTGATTTTGTGTCCTGTCTGTGCTGTTCTACACTAGGCATGCATCTGAGTTGAACCCATTCATATGAGACTGTGGTCACAGATAAACCTCATGGTTGTCACTGTCACAAGAGACACGCATCTGCAGTTTAATTCTGTCACCCTAACTGCTGAACCATACACAGTGGAAGTACAGTTACATTACACAATTGCCAAATAACGTTGAGTTTCAGTTCTCCCTGTACGCGCTCGTACTCACTCTTTCATTCGTCCAGGTGTGCAAGCTCTATGTCACGCTTCATTAGGAGTTTGATAGATTCTATTACAATTAAAACTCCTATTTACCCAAGACTGGCCATGTTTGACCTTTATTCGGCATGTATCAGGTTTGGTGTATTACAGGTTAAGCCAGATTGACAGCCACAGTGTTCAGTGGAAGTTCAGAAGTGCAACTCATGTGAGGCAAACTGCACGTAGCACTATAGAGTCAAGAGTCTGACTAAGGCGTCTTTTTGTCCTTGATAATAAGATTTCAAACTCTGTTTAATTTTTTTTTTCACCAGTTTTTAATATCAATTTTGTCTCATCTTATTTGAATAATAGATTGCTGATGATTTTGTCCCATGTTTTGTGACTGACATGAACCCATACTAGTGTGGGCAAAATTCAGCCAAACCTAAAGTGAAAGAAAAATTATTGTTAATTAGGCCTGTTCAACAGCTAAGAAAGAAACATTTTGGCTCAGACACCAAAGACTTTACGAGTTTGGTTTGGTATAGAATTATTTTGTAATCCCAAATGCTGTTGCAGATGCTCTTAGAAACTCCATAATTGTGAAACAATATTGCTGCATGAAGAGGGCTGTTTAGAATTGGGACTTTCCATTTTCAGTGTCTCATTTCAACCTTTCCTCCCATAGGCTGAAGCCAAGAAGAAAAAGAGAAGTAGCGAGGAAAAGGAGAAAATCACAGTGAGAAATTTATTTATCTTATTTCTATAGAAACACTGTACAAATACAAATTTGGTTTGATCTAGTGCAAAGACTACAGCAAAGACTATTATCAGCAATGTATGAATTAAGTGAGTAGCTAAGATGTTTCGCACAGGTGTACATGAAGTGCAGAAAGTCACCAATATATAAACCTTATATTTGTAGCTACACTTTATAACAAAACCGTATTGTTATCCAACTGTGGAATGGATGCTTAGTTCAAGAGAGGAGATGTGAAATGTCAAATGTTTTACATCCACAGGACAAATCCAAGAAGAAGAGAAAAAAGAAGCACAAGAAACACGGCAGAAAAAAGAAAAAGAAGGCGGCATCTCAGTCAGACTCGGAGTTTGACTAACAACCGTAGCTGTACGGTTCTCTCTTCCTCCTGACAGTTCACAGTAGTGTTATTTTTGCCTCTGACCTCTGAAAAACTTCTCCTATCCAGCTTTGGTCATCACGCTTGAACAAGAGACTTACAGACTTGTAATGCTGGGGTTCTGTGAGTTAAGTGAATTGAGGGCGGCACCCATCCCTCTAAGTGGCAACTACCGGTACATATCTTCCGTTTTTATTGTCGGTTTGTTTTTCCACCATGCTTTTTGTAGATAATTTTCTTTTTGAGTTACGCTCAACAACGGGACTGAAGTGAATTCCTTTATAATTATTTTCCCCCCCTCATCTTGGAGATGTCAGTGTGACTGGCGTTCGCTTTCACCTTCAGTATGCTGGCCCTCTCGGAGTTGCTCGATCTCTGCTTCACACCCGACATCTTGCGTTTCTAGTTGCTAGATGAGGCTGTCATGCTAGTGCCTGCGTCGTGCATGTAGACCCCGATGACCTGATGTCTCGCCAGCCTCATATTGAAGTTGGACTTATGATACGAAATGTGAGCTGCACAGTCGACATTTATACAAGGGATAAATTGTACTGTTAAATTAATTGTTACACTGCAGTGTAAATGTAAAAACAATGGGAATTCATTAATAAAGTATTGTTTTAGCCTTTATCGCTGTTACTTAGATACGCCCTTTATTGTGAGTGTATTGATTTTGGTGTGTGGGTGGGTGTGTGTGTGTGTGTGTGTGTGTGTGTGTGTGTGTGTCCATCCCCACAGATGACACATGGATGTGGTCCATTAACTGTCACCCACTGGTTTTGCTTTTATGGTTATCCGGTCCACTTTTTTTTATTACAAACATTTGCTGGTTTTGCATTGTGTCACTTCCTTAAAACCAAGTGCGGTCTGCAGTACTGTAACGGACAGCAAAAACCTCAGTGAAAACCTCAGTACTGCTTCTGCTATAGTCTACAACGTACAGTCATTACAATATCAAACAATAAAAAAACCTTTTTATATGTATATCACTTTCCAAAAACAAGTTTACAAAGTGCTCCACCGACATAAAAACCGAAAAACACAGTGCATTTACAAATTGGAATACGTTTAATGCAGCCAAGAAAAAGAAACGAAGATAAAAGATGATGAAAACCAACTAATTTAAAACCATTTAATAAAAATAAGTAAATCTTAAAAGAGCCAGCTGCCTTGTTTAATGGCTTCATCATAACCAGCTTTATTACCAAGAAGTGGGGATGCTGCGAAAATGTAAATAAAAGCAGAACGTGGTGACCTGCAAATCATTTGTGACCTATATTTAATTGAATGCAGTACAAAGACAACATACACAATGTTCAGTAAGACTGGGACCGAAGCAACAACATATTGAGAAAGCTGTGGAAAGCTCAAAAAACACCTGTTTGGATCATTCCACAGGTTAATCGGTAACAGGTGAGAGTGTTATGACTGGGTATGGGAGGTGGATCCTTGAAAGGCTGAGTTTACAAACAAGGATGGTGAGAGGTTCACCACTTTATGAAAAACTACTCGGGCAAATAGGCCAAGAGTTAAAGAACAGTATTTCTTAACACTATTGCATGGAATTAACGGATTTCACCGTCTACAATCCATAATATCAACAAAAGTTTCAGAGAAAACCAACACTAAATGCTGTGACCTTTGATCCCTTAGATTGCAGTGCATTAAAAATCATGATATTACTTAATGGGCTCAGGAACACAGTTGGTCACTGCATCTACAAATGCCAGTTTAGACTCTGCCATGTTAAGTGAAAGCCATGTAACAACAACATCCCAACACCGCCAGCTTCTCTGGCCCTGAGCTCATCTGACAAAGACTAAAACAAAGTGAAAAAGTGTGCTGTGGTCTGATAAGTCCACATTTCAAATTGTTTGGAAATCATGGAGGTCATGTCCTCACGATAAAAGAACCATCCAGACTGTTACCAGCGCAAAGTTCAAGTCAGCATGATGGTATGGAGGTGTGTTAGTGCCCATGATATGGCTAGCTAGCACATGTGTGAATACTCCGTTAACGCTGAAAGGTACATACAGGTTTTGAAGCAACATACAGTGTTGGAAAAAAGTTTTCGGGCACCCCATGCATTTGTGAAATATTGCATTAAGAATCACTCTTAGGTCTTCAAGTGCAATTTCTTTTAGTACAGTCACAGCCAAAATACTAAATAAATCCTAAAAAAGCCATTAAAAACTTAAAATTGATTGGTTCCATAAAAATACATAAGAAATTTTGAGTATTGGGTCATTTTGGTACCAGTGATGAAGGTCGTTCTTTCTATTAAAAGACAATTTTTGTTGCCAAGCCTCGTGTCTACATAAAGCCAGCACATTTGAAAGTTCTTCAGACACAAAAATGGCTAAAACAAGGAACCTAACGCAGGAAACACGCCTGAAGATAAAGATTCTCAGCCAGGAAGGGTACAGTTGCCGCCAGATAGCCAGGAAGTGCAGATGCAGTCCTTCAGCAGTTGGATACACTCTGCAGAAATACAGACGAACCAACAGCTTGGAAGACAAACCAAGATCTGGGCGTCCAAGGGTTTCTTCAGCAAGAAATGACCGCATCCTGATCCGCATGTGCAGGCAAAACCGCCGAGTGACATCACAGGAGCTTCAGCAGCAGTGGTCAAACCAAACTGGTGTCCAGTGTTCCACCCGCACTGTACGTGGCCGACTTTTAGATCATGGCTTAAGGTCCTACAAGGCTATCAAGAAGCCCCTGATCAATGAGAGACAGAGGTTAGCCCGGTGTCGTTGGGCCCAGGCACACAAGAACTGGATAGCCAGGAATTGGAGGAAGATTTTGTGGTCAGATGAGTCCAGTTTCCAGCTTTATCTTCCTCCTACTAATGTGAGGGAACGCAGAAGGCCAGGCGAAGCATTATCTCCAGCATGTACAGTACCTACTGTCAAGCATGGTGGAGACAGTATCATGGTTTGGGGATGCATAAGTGCTGCTGGTGTTGGTCATCTCACTGTCTGTGATGGCACATTGAACTCTACCAAGTATTGTACCATTCTCGAAACCCACATGCTCCCTTCTGCGCGTGCACTGTTCCGTCGAGGTAAAAACTGGATGTTTCAACAAGATAATGCCCCTTGCCACACATCCAAGGCCAGTAGAACTTGGCTGCAGGAGCACAGTATCCAGGTCTTAGTGTGGCCAGCTCAATCCCCGGACATGAGCCCCATTGAAAATCTGTGGTGGATTATCAAAAGGTCTGTTTCAAAGCATAAACCAAAGAATTTAGAAGAATTAAAAGCAGTAATTCAAGAAGAATGGGACAAGATTACCCCTCAACAGTGTGAAAGGCTCGTGGGGAACATGCCAGCCAGGATTAGAGCTCTACTACGTGCCAATGGCAGGACTACTAAATATTAATTTGATGATGTGATGGTTTATTTATTTTTTGTTCAGTTTTGAACACATTCTCTGTTATTTGTTGACTTTGATACCGACAATGTTGAGAACTGACATATTGAAACGGTCAAGAATTTAGTTTTGTTAGTTTTTCTTGTAAACAATAAACAAAAAAATATAATTTGTATTTGTTTGTATCTGTCTAATGCAGCCACACCTTTTGAAACACAAAAAAGATTTTTCCACAAATATTTCATGATAATATTTGAGATTGTGTAAAATTTTAAGGGTGTCCGAAAACTTTTTTCCACCACTGTATGCTGCCATTCAAGGACGTCCCTTCTTATTTGAGCAAGAGAATGCCAAGCCACACTCCGCATGTGTGGCTTCATAGGAAAAAATGCAGGTACTAGACTGGCCTGCCTGCAGTCCAAACCTGTCTCCCATTGAACATGTATGACAAAAAATATGATAATGGAGACCAACAATAAGTCATGCCCTGTTACCTTAAATTCTAAAAGACAAGTTTGTTTTGTAGCATGTTTTGTAAAATTGCATCTGAAAAGTAACTAAAAATATAGAACAGTAAAGAGTACAGTATGTATTGGAGTAGAGGAAGAAAGTAGAAAATGGAACAGGAAGTACATTTACTTTAAAATGTACTTGCATACAGTACTAAAGTTAATTTACTGAGTTATACATTTTCAGTGCACTTCCTCCTTTTAAAAAAATCCAGTCCCTGTAGTGTAACTATTTTTTATGAGGCTTTACAGGCAGGTCTTGTGATTGAAACAAATTCACAGTATCAAAGGTTAATGTGAGCTTGTAAAGTCTTCCCTGAGTTTTGTGTACGTTTGCAGCCTCGCACAATGATTGCTCAAACCTTGCTTGTAAAATCCAAGCTGCTCACAGAGCACAGGGGGTGTGATAAACAGTTTAGCCCTCAGATTTTGTTCAGTGGGAGTGTCTGGCTCGCTATATAAACAGCGGTGCATCCGGGGTTCAGTTAAGGGGAAGTGTGAGACGTATGACAGGAAGCTGCTGAATCACTTGCAGAAGGTAAGTTATGAAAAGAACTATGAATGTTTATCAGACATATAACTGTCAGTGAAGTACTTAATAAGCAGTCACAATGTCTATTTACTGTTTTATCACTGTTTTGTGTGGTTGGGTGAAAGGAAAACACTCATAATGAAAGTGAAAGTTACAGAAAATGAACAGAAATAGAAGTTTCATTAAAAGTCACAGAATCTGGCTTGTGAACTTAAGACAGGATTTTTTTAATTGAATGTCACATATTGTATCACATTTGATCGATTTAAATAACTGTTATAAATACTCTCCTCTGTAGATGTTGAGGCTAACTCTGTGGTTGTTCGTGGGAGTGTTTGTGTGGGAGCTTGCGTCTTGCTCCATCACATGTCCCGACGGGAATGTCTGTTCTGATTCTGCCACCTGCTGTATGACTGAGCATGGGTATAGCTGCTGTCCATATCCAAATGTAAGTCACTTGTCAACACATAAAGTATCTTGACTAACATTTTGGTCTTAGAAAATGATGCAAATATTCCTCCCTAAATTTCTATGTGTCTGCCTCCGCCTGTGTTTTCAGGCTGTGTGTTGCTCTGACTTGGCCCATTGCTGCCCTTCAGGGTATCGTTGTAACCAGCTTACCCAGATGTGTGAGAGGGAGCCATGGATGAGCATACCCATGGTAAAGAAGGTGGCGGCAGAGGAACCAAGCACTCCTGTTCTACCTGCATTTCCCCATCAGGAGCCAGAAAACAATGTGCCAGACCAACAAAAGAGCTCAGTTGTCTATTGCGACAGCTATACCTATTGTCCCGATGGCACTACCTGCTGCAGATACCCAACAGGTGCCTGGTGGTGTTGCGGGTACTCTCCTGTGAGTCGACCTTTATACCCTTGTGCAATAAGACACAACTGTAATGATATATTTTTGTCTACTATGGCATGGCAAGTCAAAGCTTGCCACTCAGATCTTTGACGATAAATAAACTAACTTGTTGTAACCTGTAGGGCAGGTGTTGTCGAGATGGCTACCACTGTTGTCCTGCCGGCTTCGACTGTGACTACACTTACCTGCACTGTGTGAGGCAAGGCCTGAGATATCCTTTCACCCCCAGACACAGTCCCGCTTCAGTCCCTGCCTCTGTCATTTCAACACCACAGGACAAGGGCAGCTTGCAAGAGGTAGGACCTATCACAGTAAATGTGCCTCTCTAAATGTGGTGTATAAATCCTAGGGTTAGTTATGTGAATGATCATCCAGTCACACAAAGTTAAAGGCCCTGAAGACCTTTTCACTCAATCAGCTTCTTACTAAAAGCGATGGGGTCCTACGTGAACACTTTTAGTTTGATAGCTTTTTGCATTTCAGTTTGCATACCTGCTTTATTTCACTGGTATGAAGTGGGTGGGACTTAGATACTGTTTGTTGTTTATCAGAGGAGGGGGGTTTATCTTTATTCTCTCTGGAGCTACAGACAGTTTTCCTTGAGTTTTCCCGCCTCATAATAACGTACAGTCTCTTAGTTGGAAAAAAGACGATCCATCTGTGCACCAATCAGGATTTAGCATCAGCTGAATCAAAATGTGATGATAATAACGGGTTTGTTTGCTTATGTTGGCACTAGGCAGGCTACTGTCAAATCTGAATAGTCTTAATAAAAATATTCAAGTGTGGTTTTCCACAGGCCAGTGGCCAAAAATCTATTACTGAAGGTTTCACTGTGATTGTTGCTTAGTTTGTCATTATCTTATATGAAAATAAACATGTACTAATTACAGAATATTTAGTAACTACTTGCCAGGGGATAATGGATAATGGTCAGTTTGTGTTGACCTTTTGCAGACACCAATGACAGCTCTGACAGAAGCCAGTGGGGGCAACGCTAAGGCTGGAGTCATTCGCTGTGACTCCAAGTTTTTCTGCGCAGGAGGGAAAACTTGCTGCAAAGGAACCACAGGCCAGTGGAGCTGCTGTCCTTACCCACTGGTATGGATTGTGCATGAAATTTTAAACCGTCATGAAGTAATGGTGCAGTGATCGAAAGGCAAACAATTTGAGTGCTTAGACAAACCAAGAATATTGAGAATTTAATGCAGAGAACAATGAAATGCTCCTCATAATCCTTTACTGCAGTGATTTACAAGTTAATACTGTATTTTTTCTAACATCAACACCTTTTCTGATTCAGGGCAAGTGTTGTGTGGATGGTCTGCACTGCTGTGAGTATGGATATAACTGCGACCCCACCTCCCTGTCATGCAGAAGATGGTACTCGCAGATCCCCTCAGGAGCACGAGAACCCGCCAACACAGACTAAGGAGGACACGCTGTTTGAATTTGTGCACTGTGACAGCTTTGCTATAATTTTGATACACACCTCAGATCAAATCTAACAATGCAACATCATTAGACCTAGATGACGGTTTAATGAGTGACTAATCTGCTTACAACTTTAAAAGATCATTTCTCTTATCCATGTTGAATTACATTTTATACTGTATGCTGCATTGGTGGTTAAAAAGGATGGGATGTAAACATTAATTTTAAGACACCAGCTAAGCAAGAGCTCACGCAAACGTTTTTATCAGTTGCAATGTGTTCAATCTAAGCATTTTCAACTTCATGCCTCTCTCCTTTTTAATGAAACGTAAAAAGAGAACACTCACAAACATATGAACTTTTTAAAAAAAAAAAATTTAAAAAAAACATGCAATGTGAATGAATCATTTTTCTGCTTTGTTCATGCTTTCTGAACTTAAAGAGGAACTACACCCATTTTCAAAATTCAGAAAGGTTATTCCTGTGGTCCAAAAATATTAGTAAACACAAACAACAATCTCCCAAATCCAAAAAACTAGAGTAAGTTTGTGATGTCATAGGGTATAAAGTCAGAAGCTGCTCCGTAGACAATGAATCAGAAAAGATGTTATAGATGACACTGAGCGCACCCAGAGGAATGCTCTGAGTATATGGGTACATTTTCTGTTTCAACAATCAAAACACTACAATAGATAGAGCTCATTTGGGTATAACAAAGAAAACAAACATTTGGTGGGTTCATAAAATCAGGCTTCATTCAAGTTCAAGTGCACAATCAAGTGCAGCTCCAGACTTTACTCCCTATGACATCACAAGTTTGAGACTTACGTCTCTGATTTATGGCTTTGAGAGAGAGAGGGTAGCTTATGTTCTTAGATATTGAGTGAACTTTCCTAGGCCATGAAAATAACTAACTTTAACTAATCTTAATTTAAGTGCTGTTTCCCTTTAATGTGTCATTGGGTGAAAGACAACTCACCTGTGTTTCCCTGAATTTTATATTAATATTATTCTTATTATTCTTACTATTATTTATTATCATCATTATTATTCTCATTATTATTATTATTGTTTTTATTATTATAAAACAGCACACTTTGATGCTCATCAAAGGGCTTTTACTTTGAAATGCATAAACGGAAACGCAGACTTTTATTTTGACTGGCTAACTTCCTTGGTTCCCATGTGTATGTTTTCGGGCGGAGGCGTAACATAAGTGCAAATGGTGGAGAGATGGGTCAAATCGAGGAGCTAAAAGTGTTTGTCTCCGAGCGGCTACATGCTGCCGCCTCTGACATTTTAGGTGCTATTGAAAAGACAATAACGGATTACGAGGAGCGGGCTTCCCGTCTGAAGGAGGAAAACGACCGCCACCGCTCTCTGTTGGACATCATCCTCAAAGCCAAGACACCGCGTACAGAAGGTTGGTGCTTCCAAACGAGAAAGAAAATGTAGTTTTAAATCCAAAATCCTTGAATTGATCGGAGTCCGTTTTAGGTGAATGTCCTCTTTTCACCCTGATAGTAATAAAACTAAAAATTATGTCCTGGAGCTGTTAACGTTCATACGATTCAAACAATGTGGCAATTAAGCCGGCTACGTTATAACTTTTAGCTAACTGTAGCTAGGTAGCTTTGCGAGTATTTGTTAAGTCAGTTGCTTAGTAAAATAAGTATGTATAACGATAATACACGTATTGGGTGTAAAGTTTATGTGTAATCGTCGGTATGCGATTTCGGACGCAGCATTTATTTAGCTAACGTTAACTGTAGCTTGCTAGCTTTTCCGATCATTAGATAACGTTAGTTAACGTTACACACTTCCTGGCAACACCGAAGACACTAACATATTGCTAATTCTGTGGGTTTTGCTTTAACTAATATCGTATCGTATATTGTTGGATGATGTTGTGGTGTTTGTCACTCTCACTGCGAGCGCAAGCTAGCATCACCATCTACAGTTTACGTCGCCATTTTTTTTTGTTTCTAGGATAGCGAAGGTACGACCCGCCCTACTTAACTCCGATTGGCTAATACTCGTTGGCTTCGTTGGTTGGATTGGTTGGGATAGCGGAAGTGTGACAGAATAAGCCAATCAGGGGCAGAATAGGGCCTCGTCAATCACAGAACAGTAGGGCGGGACCAGCCGGAATACTTGTGAGGAAAATATTAATGCCAGCTGTTTTAATTACAGGCCAGTAGAAAAACAACTGCATAATAGCCAGGAGTGGTATTAAGAATTGGAATATGCCACAACAACACATCACTGAAAATAGAACCATTGTAAAGTTAGTTAACATATTTTTAAGAATGAATTTGACTGTAAAATGGCAAATAATCTCTCTCTCTTGTGGTTCGCCATGGCAACACCTTTTATACTGTGCATTTGTGTGATCAAATAGAAATTGTGAGCTCATTACCTGCAGGTGTTACTAATAACACTAACGATGGCTCTTTGCCATTCAGGTGCTCCAGTGAGAGTGGCAGTGAGCAAGCATGCAGGATACAAGGATCCTGAAATCAAAGCATGCAAAATGGAATTCAGCCATCATTCATTTGATGATTCACACCTGTGTTGTTACTACTGCAACATGTCAAAACGTCTTCCATGAAAAAGGCTTATACAGTGTGCAGTTTTTAGAAGGCCTAGTTGCAGACAAATACATGCATCAAACAAAGACTCAAAAAATCTGTAATTTTCACGCTGCTTACTCTCATTATCGAGTTATTCTTTGCACCTATTGCCTAATTGCTTATGTGTCAGTGAAAAGACACAATAGACTGATAGCGCAGTTGCAAAATATCATATTGACGTGATGCTTCCTACCATTTGGGCTATGTAAAACCCTGTAGATATAGATTCATGCCACTCCTGCCAGATTTAATGATCGACACAGAATATGTCACTGAGGAAACATCTCACCAGTCAGCTCTGGTGTAAATAATTGAATTAATGATGGCTGAATTCTATTTAGATGTTTCGGTGTGAGAGTCCCGATATTGTACATGCTGGCTCGTGTCATGACTTGAATAGAGCAGTGTAATCGTTAATGTCATGTGTAACATCCACACCTTTTCTCACTGTGAGAAGTCAAGATGTCTGCTGTGAAAAAGATCTATTGACCTGTTTTTAAAAAATGCGTTATTCCCCTAATTTTCATGAATAATGTCACCTCATTGCCATCGTGTGGCATTGAGGGCATCTGCCAGCTGCCAATAACAACTTGACATGTTGTGACCATGGTGTCATATCATAGGCAATCTGTTCATTAGCTCTCTGATGTCAGAACCAGCGTTGGCACTTGCCAGATTTCCTGTTATTTCTGTTTTCCTCAACACCATCATCTTCACAAGAAAATGACAACTTTTATTTAATACAACGTAACACTTTTTTCTTATGTTCTTCTTTTTTTCTCTGCAGCACATCAAGCCTCCAAAAGTACCCATGCTGCCGCCAGCTCAGGTGCATCAGATTCAAGTCCAAGGCCTGAGAAACCCAAGTCCAGGACCAGAGCATCGCACTTCCATTCCAGGGGTAGGACTAAGTCTGACAATAAATTCTCACAAAAAGGTCATTCATTACATTGTGAAAACATGATATAACTGTTAGTTACAGCTTGCTTTTCCATTAATGACACAACACTAATTATTTGCTCACACTGTTGTTTGTGTTATTCCAGGGAAGTAGGCATTTCAGTCATTTTCACAAGGCCTTTGTCGAAGTGTCTCATAACTAATAATTCTATTAAATACCATATTGTTCTGTAAAATTACTTAATTAGATCCTGTTTTTGTTTCCCAGACTGGCAGTGGGCCTTCACTTCACGCACCGACTTTATAAAGTTTGCAGCCATTGGCGACTGTCCCTACTGCTTGAGGAGAATTCAAGCCACTGAGACACATTTGATAAAGAAACATTATCTAAATGCTGTCCATTTTAATGAGGACGGCACTGGTAAGTTTTATTAACATGGAAATCTAAATATGATGATACTTGTTACTCAAGCAGTTCTCAAGTTTACTAGCTAATGAAGATGTGCTTAAACAAAGTTCTTTTAAGTGTCCTGTCATTTTAGGTGTTGCTTGTAGTAAGTAGGCTTTTTGTTCTCTTTGCAGAAAAATTTGTCATACCATGTACATGCGAAGACTTGATTCAGGGCAGAAGTCACTGGCACTGCCCATACTGCACAAAGATCATCAATCGGAGATGTAACTTTGAGATACACATATCTAAACAACACGGTATGTACGATGTCTTGGAATACTCAGGGTGTTATTTGAGCATTCCTTTGTTTTGTTGTAAAAGCATAACCGCTGTGTAGCAGTGCCATCACCAGTAATACTGGTGATATTGTTGTTTTCTCTGACCAGAAGTCATTACTGACTACAGTGTCTTTTTACTTCACAGGCTCTAAAATACTGCAGCAAAGCCAAGACACAGGTTAGTTTACAATGTATGACCCACAGTTGTTTACAAATGCTTAATTATCGGAATGAGGTTGCTGTAATTTATTCATAATATGCAGTGTTAAATTTTACACTGTCGCTCCAAGTGGCAAGCTGTAATGCACTATGCAGATGGGCTACCGGCCCAGAGTGGTAAAAAAAATAAATCCATAACACAACAATGGCTTCTTTGCATATGATGTCATACATCAGTGTGCTGTCCTGATGGAGGGCAGGCAACTAAAGACCAGGACTATCAACACTGCACATTGCCAATGATCTTTGCTGTTTACGGCTGTTCCAATCGATCAAACTGGGGAAAAATAAAGGCCACATTAAGTCTCAAATAGTAGGATGTAGAGGGGAGACGTAAAAAAACAAACTGAGAAACAGCAGCAGATGTGAATCAGAAACCCATCTTCAGCCTGGAGGAGTGGAGTCAACTAACCTCAAACATTAACATTAAAGCATCGAGTTAAACATGCCTCAAGTTAGATGCATGACAGCTCCTCTGCGTTTTTAGCCACAATCCAGATTTTTACTAAGGCCGTTGACCTAGTGGGTAGAAAGTAGTAGCTCAAGTTAGCTAACGTTAGCTAGGAACATTAGCCTGACAGCAGTGCATCCACGTACAGAGTTGAAATATAAAAGACAGTCATACTCTAGTTATACTAGACACTTTCCTTTTTAGCCAAAAAACAAGTTGGCGGTTGTTTCAGTCATGGTTCAATAGAGTCCAATAGACTGTTGTGTGTTTTCATCGCCCTGCCAAGTAGCGTTAATAATGTTAGGAGGTCTAAAGGATGAGGTCATTTTTAAAGACAATCTGGGCAAATTGGTCAAGTTGTATGGATAACATCCAGTACTCAATTTTCAGACAATACCTGCTCCCTGCAGGTTCATCCAAACCCTTCTGTGTGGTCACATTCCTTTATTCCCATTGTATAGTATATGGATTTATCACTTCCTGCCCTCCATCTGAATTCTGTGCATCATAATAGTTACGTGCTAGAGATATAAGTGTTCTGCTGGTAACCAAATCATTGCGTAATGTTTTGTTATGATGCCCCCCACCCCCATCAATGGCTGCACGACACCTAAGCCCTCTGGAGGAAAACACTCTTGAATATGTTGATTACAAAAACAGATTAAAGATTCACTGAGCAAGTGTGTTATTTACTCTGAAAAACACCGGGACATAAGATAATCATACATCATAATAAAAGGTTCTTTCCTTTTTGACTGTACCCTCTGTAACTCAAAGCACAGTGTTCTTGCCACAAGTGTGCTGAGTTTGCTCAAAACTGCTGTGAAAAGTGTTGTTTTGTAGCGGAGAACAAATCTTTTGTATGTGTGAAGGAATAAAATCAGTGTGAATTAGTCAACCCTTTAAAAAAAAACAAGTGTATTTTTCAGTTAACCAAAAGTGTGCTGTGTTGATAGGCAGTAGGGGTGGTACAGCCACTGATTTACAGTCACTGAGGCTTATAAATAAATAGTTTGATTGAGTATTGACTGCAAAAACCAGATATTTGGCAGTATTAATGGAATGTAATTCATTTCTCTGTCCTCCCCAATAGAGGTCAATCAGCCCTCTGTCTCTGCCTTTGAGGAGGAGGTACCCCTGAGTCCTGAAACCTGGAGCCAGCAGTTCAGCAGTCTGAACCAGGAGACCCACCAGGCCTCACTGCTGCTTCAAGTCAAACAAGAGGAAGAACAGGGAATGTGTAGACAAGGTCTGGTGGAAGAGTTTGGCATGCATAACTTTACTTTGAGTACATGTACAAACTTGTGTGACAAACAACTGAATGTGTTTTTTCCTTTATCCGTAGTGAGTCATGCTGAGTGGCAGAACTCTGTGCAAGTGGAGATTGAAGGCAAGCAAAAGCTGAAAGGCAACAGTCAAATGAGTCTGGAGGTAGATCACGCCCAAGAACCATTATACAACATCATCTGCGTGGACACTTGTATTCAAGATGTCAGTGAAATCAACAGTGTGCAAAGCAGCGAGGAACATCATCTTCCTAATTCTTCAAATCAACCTCTGGAAACACAGCCTTACAGTGGAGCTGGTGGAATACAGCAGCCAGCTGAGGACTCTCAGCACACGACACCTGGCTCTAGTTTAAAGAGGAAAAAGCATGTGAAAAAATCTTCACCCTCTCTGAGTAAGAAATCAACACAACCATCTGTCAGTCAGAATCCCCCAGGTCCTTATCGTTGTAAAGCATGTGGAGAGACTTTCCATAACATGTACACACTGAGGGGACACACGGTATCACACATAGTGGATGAAACCTGTATTTGTGGAATCTGTGGAAAACATTTAGAGACCACAGACAGTTTGTTCCAGCACCTTCAGTTCCACGCAAAGAGATACAAATGTGGTATATGTGGCAAACAATTTTCTAGTAGCTTCCGTCTGATACAACATAAGAGATTTCATAGACTGAAGGGTGTAAATGTCACGTCATAGTCTCAAAAACTACACGAGCGGATTCCTACAGACGTCCTAAATGAATCGAAAAGGGCTGTGATTATTGTTTCCTGATGGACTATGTGGGAGATACCACTCCAGTTGTGTACATATGGGAGGAGGAATACTTCAGCCCCAGTGGTTGTTGGTGTTAATTGTATATCATTGTATTCATATGCAATTTTGTAGACTTGAATTAATAAAATTTAAACTGTCTTCTGTGTGTACTTTTAAATAAACCACCAGTTTGGGAGTGAGACCTAACTTAGATTCAAGTTCAGGTTTGTGACTGTAACAAATGATAACCACCACAAAATGCAATTATTGGTGTCCCACAGAGGTGTGGACTCAAGTCAAACATTTGTTAAAACGACATTACCTTTGGTAATGAGTGCATTATGACTTGTAAAGGACTTGACTTGGGACTTTTCTGTCTTGACTTTGGACTTGACTCAGGACTCACCTGACCTAACTTGGGGCTTGAGTGCAAAGTGCAAAGTTTGATGACTTTAGATTTGACTTGAGCTTTTCGACTTGAAAATACATGTCTTCCTCAGTGGCCAAAGATTAAAAAGTTTGGGGGTAAAAATGTGCCATGAAGCAATTTATTTCCAATCATTTACTAAATCAAATAACAACACTATTCATTCCCAGCAGGTTAACACTTAATTTCCCAGATCCACTTTATCTGAACCAATTGGACAGCATCCTGTTAAGTTGCAGGGCAGAACCATGAAAAACTAACGTAACATACTGAGCACCAGTTGGAGAAATGATACCAAAGATAATTTAGATCCTGTCCAAAAAACAAATTGTATGCAAAACATGCGGTTTGGAAATTACAGGTGGAGACACAACTACAAATTTGTTGAACAAATACAAATTCTAAAAAGCATTTGTGATTTTTGTTAAATTTTGTAAAGAGTGCATTATGATTGTAAAGGACTTGGGACTTTTCACTCTTGACTTTGGACTTGACTCGGGACTCACCTGACTTAACTTGGAGCTTGAGTGCAAAGTGCAAAATTTAAGATTCGACTTTTTTGCCTTTTGACTAAAAAATACACGTTATCTTCCTCCATGCTCAAAGATGAAAAAGTATGGGGGAAAATGTGCCATAAATCCATTGTCTACATTTTGCAAAGAGTGCATTGTGACTTGTGAAGGACTTGACACTCAAAGTTTAGGACTTGGGACTCGCCTGACTTAACATGGGGCTTGAGTGCAAAGACTTGACTTGCATGTGACTTGCAAAACATTGACTTGATCCCACCTGTGGACTGTCCCCTTGTATTTGTGTTGACACTACAAGTTGTCAATGGGCTGGTATGACGTCACTAATATAATTAATTTTAAGATTGCAGTCAAAAGGTAAAGGGTTATTTGTGATATAGCCTACTGTACTATTATTAAGGGAATCGGTTTTCTGTGTGATACCTTGAAGGACAATTGCACTGTAAGTTATGGGAAGTAAACGTATCATAAAGTGATTGCAGTGAAGTAGGACATGGTGAGGGGTTAAATGTCAAGAAAAAAAGTTGGGAATTTCGGGACTTGCCATTATTCCTGCTGACTGGACTGTCCCTCCAGTCAGTCAGTGTGTATGAGCTAGTGTTAGTGTTTGCAGGGCTCATGCTATGACTGATGTATTTTGGTCCCAACGTTCCCGTCTTGTCATTTCTGTCCCATGATGCGGTGAGTGTCCACGGCAGGAAGGAAGAGGGGGGACGCCGTTTGACTCCGCTCTGGAGAGTCTGTCCTCATTGAAGTTTCCCCCGGTTAATTTGCAGTAACTCCGGGGCGAGTTGCTGCCTCCGTTTGGTTGGTTTTACACGGGGAATATGGCTGTGTTGAAGATACAAGACCAGGTAACATTATCTAACTAACATTTAACATTAACTCGTATGTGTCACTTTTTGTTAAAACCAGCAGCGCTAGTTCTTGTGAGTGTTTATGTGTAACGTTAGTCAACCCTGTGTCAAACTGACTGCTCATTTTAGCTTAACTTTACCAACATTAGACAGCTACATTTATCCAGTGTGACTAAAACCAGTGTAGTAGCTGAAATGTTAAGAATAAAGGTGTAATGGTAAAGCTAATGCTGCTCACGTTTGCCAACGTTCATACAGTTCACTGGCAAGTTAGCTAACGTTAGCTAGCGGTAACCAGTTAACACAAACCAGATAACGTAAACGTAAAAAGCATGCTAATGTCATGTCACCTGTTGCCTCACGTTAACTTGGTTTGTTTAAAAAGCTCACTTTCATGTCAAATCAGTGTTAACGTGGTTGTACGTGTGTTTTCTTCGGCGTTTTTCTCTGTTGCTGTCTCTAGTGTTGATGGACTGGTGAGCACAGCTGGATAGCTACTAGGTTAACAGGGTGGCTAACTCCCTTTCTCCTGCTAATGCTAGTTAGCGACTTTAACTCGTGCACTTAAAAGTGTAACGCCACCACATTATAAGGCTCTTAAAGTTGGTGAAACGATTCAGACAGCATGTTTCCGATCCCACTGGCTGCAGGCCGATTTTCTACCCAGGGAGTTTGCTTTGTCAGCTGTCTATTTCAGCTCCCTGCACATTTTCTCTGGGGCAGCTGTGGGCAGTCACCTGTTGCTCCAGATAAGAAAGGCTGTCAGACTAAAATAGCAGGTGGTGCTGGTTCGAAAGTCTCCAGCTGTGTGCGTGAATTAGACTCTTTCCACAAGCTTAAAACAGTTGTTATGGACAGTGTGGGGACCTAAAGGCAGGGATACACAGGGCATTGTAGTGGACGCATGCACCACCAACAAAAAAGGTTGATTTTTTTTAATCTTATCATTGTAGTCACACAAGTTCTTTTGTTAGATTACCAGTTAGTGTGTGTGCTTGACTCGTAAATTGGAGTAATTTGTGAGGAGAACAATCCAATTAGCCAATGTATCAATAAATAGAAGATTTGATTTTTTTATTTGTAATAAGAAAGAAAACCAAATATTTATTGGATACAGGTTTTAAGCATTACATTTTGCTTTCTGTCCTTCTTTTTATACCACAGTGGATGCAATTGTTTTATGACTGTCAGACAGAACTTTGGTAACTTGTGATATTATGCATTTATTGTGTCATTTATTACATTTTTTTCACAAAGTCTTTACATTTTAGAATAAGTGATTCATCAGTGAATATTATAATTAGGACATATACTGAATTTGATTGAATGAAAATAGTTGCACTTATTGAAGTAATTATGGCAAAGTGCTTCATTTTTTTATTGGATCATATTTCAAATATTACAGTACATTGTACAGAGAGATACAAGTTTAGCTTACTGATGATCATTTTAACATCATACATGAAACAACAATATGAAACATAACAAAAGAGAAGAACATAAAACAAAAACGAAGTGCTTAGACATTTATTTATTTAATTATTTAACCTTTATTTAACCAGGAAGTCCCATTGAGATTGAAAATCTCTTTTACAAGTGAGACCTCGCCGAGGTAGCAGCCAATCAACACATTTAAAATGCAACAAATACAACATATAATACAAAAATCCACATTAAAACAACAACTATTCAAATGTAGTGGCCTCTCAAGAAAAACAAGCACACATCTCTGTCACCATATTCTTTATGATGCCCTTAAATTCATCAGTGGATATAAGTGTTTCTAATTTTAGATCTTTTTGGAGATTGTTCCATGTCCAAGGTGCAGAGTACAAAATGCAGTTTTCCCCAGATCTGTTGCTGGTAACTACAGAGCTGACACACAGAAGGGAGCAGAGATAGGTTGGAAGTTTGCCCAATATTGCTTTATAGATAAAGATATACCAGTGCGGTTGTCGGCGAGTGGTCAATGATGTCCAACCCACCAAATCATAAAGAATGCAGGGATGAGTAAGTGACTTTGCATTTGTAATAAAACGTAGAGATGCATGGTAGACTATATAGGTAGATATAAAGGCTATTAAGTGTTTGTTCAGAATTGGCTGTCAAAGCGGTTATAGTAAGACATTGTCCCGTAACACTTTGACTAACTTGACGTCACTCAAAGTGGGTCCCTGATGGTGCAGCTCTGTGGCTTGTCCCGGTCTGACCAGTCTTCCGGACAGGCATGCAACAAACGGAAGTGTGTGTGTGATTAGATCCCCCTCTCTATTCTCTATTGTTCTATGTAGTGCTTGCTGACAGAACAAGACAAAAGGACAAAAATAATCCCACTCAGAGGGACAGGAGTGTCAGTTTTGGCAAAAGCCACTGTTTGTCCTCTAGAGGGCATCCTGTCGCTTTGGAGCATGCAGTGTGCCCTTAGCAGGCTATGGTCCTGCCTGAAGAGGAGGCATTTATGTGAAAACGCTCAATGAAAGCAGAAGGTCAAGCATACAAGAGGGCATATCATTGTTTTGTTTGTGTTAAATTGCTTGGGGCTTTTCTGATGTGTCCACGATGCATACTTCAGCAGTATGCTATTAATGGCTAGTAGCCTCTGGGCACCATGTAACGTTTGTTTGTGCACAAGTAAAATATGGGCAGTATAATTAATTATTTCTTTTAGCTTCAAATTTTCTACTGTCGGGCTTCCCCACAAATGAGTCATGACTGTCACTCTACTAGACAAAGTCAATGGTCCTGGACACCATGACACCAACACTGGTCTTCACACATCCAAAAAAAATTGATTTAAAATTAAATTAAAGTTAAGAACAAATTCCATACAATAGCTAAATAAATAGACTATTTGGATATGACTAGAAACAAATGAAAATTAACATCAAATCAACATGAGCTTCTTCTTCACAGACTGACACTGGTGATTTCTCATTTGTTTGTCTTTTGTTGTGTTGCTTTACTTACATTAGTTCAGAGCCATGTGACGTTAATGACTCATCCTCTGTTTGCCATTCATTAAGAGCATTTAATGGATAGCATGTCGCGGTCTGCATACCATACGTGTAATGTCAGGACAATAAAGCTTTCATACAGATCACCATTTTTTGATTTTAAAAGCTTTGATATCTCTAGATGCTGCTGTCTGTGCAAGAACCTCTCTCTCACACACACACACACACGCTGGCCTTTGTGTTTCTGGACTGGGATTATATTACACATAGTGCATCCAGTCGCAGGGTTAGAGCAGAGGTCAGTGCAAGCTGCATAATTCCACGTACACATATGCGCTCTCTCACATTAAGTGAAGCTCGGGTTGTATTGGAATTTTATTTGTGGGTATTTCTGATACTATTTCGACTGCATCCTCTTGTTGTTGTGGTGAGATCAGGTTCACCTTCTGTATGTTTTCCTCTAGTGTCCCACTGCTGTAGAAGCCCCAGCTCAGCATTAATGGAGCAGACATTTGAGCTGTGCCTGCCTCATGAAAGCACATCACAAAGTGGATTTTTCAGCTTTTGTTGTCAGACTGTCGTGCTGCTTGTGTTCAGGAATGCTTAGTTTGTGTTGATCACCCTGTACTGTGCGTAAAGGTTTTCATGCCTGTTCCGCATGCTTGACCACGCTCTTGGGTCCTGATTACAACTTTAAACACACATAAACAGCTCAATCCAATTTTATTTGTGTAGCCCATCATTACAAATCACTATTTGCCTCAGAGGGCTTCACAACATATGACACATCCTTGGTTCCTCACTGTGGATAAGGAAAAACACTCCCCAGTAAAATGGGGGGAGGAAAATGGAAGAAACCTCAGGAAGAGCAACTGAGGACAGACAGATGTGAAATAGTTGTCTGATGCGTGCAGACTAGACCAACACAATAAAATTACATTTTCGATGTAGAAATACATACACTGACTGTTCACACAAAGACTCATTTCTGTTTGCCAAATGCACAAATCTGCTCTGCAAACATCTTTTGGCTACGTTCCTGAGAGCATCCCCAGTGTAAGCAAGTAGGATAGACAAAACATTGGTTGTTTGTTTATGTACTTTGCCTCCCGAACGTCATTCTTTGTTTGTGCCTTTGAGGCAAATCTGTAATGTCAACTCCATGGCTGTAGGAGCAGAAAGATTGTTAGGCTGTGTTTCATGTTAAGTTTATAAATGGTAAGTCCATTAGACTCAAAGTTTAGGCCTGCAGAAAGGCATCCAACTGAATTGCTCCCTCTCATTCGCCCTCCCTCGCTCTGTCCGTCCCTCCCTCTGAGTTAATGGGGTTGTGTGGCTTGGCAAGATTGCTCTTTTTCGGATCTGTGTTGAATATGAAGGAGACTGAGAACCAACACAGACATGCACGTACAGACTGGTCTTGTTAGCTACCCTCACATTCTCTGGCAAAGCCAGTTTGTTCCAGTTTCATAATGAGGAGATGGGGACTTTTGAAGCTCTGCCATCAATATACCAAAGAGGATACTGGAACACAACGTGTACACACACACCGATCTGGTATCCATTATCTTTTATTCTCTCACATTTGGAAGAAAAGGCCGCTTCTATTTTGGCACCAACTTTATGAAGATGCAGACCGCTAAAATCTTATTTAGCAAATTCTAAAAACAACACAGCGCTTCAGTGCACATGGTTTCGTTTTTACCGTAGATTACAGCTTGGCCATTCAGTAGAATAAAAGAAGACCTTCAGTGCTTCCTACCATTACTTCTTTGTGCTATACCAAAGATGAGAGATTTGTAGAGTAGATTAGCTCTGAATCCATTAAACAAGGATAAGGAAATAACAATACAGTAGTGACATTCAGATATCCAGACAGATCAAGGCTCTCAACAAACAACATGGCTAGGTTGTAGGGCTGGGCCATATAGATGGATAGTGTGATATGAGACTAAGAAACGTCTCAGATTTTGAATGTCATAATATAAGTGTTGTCTTTTGCTGGTTTTTAAGGCTGCATTTCAGCAAAGTCATGTAATTTTCTGAACTTACCAGACTGTTCTGGCTCAATGATTCTCAACATTTTTAGTGTCAAGGACAAAAAGGACGCTTCAGAGACCTCTATTTCACAATATTTCAATGGTTAAATATGATTAAGACCAGAATTCTATAGTTGTCAACCACAGTTGAGGAATTAACCATGGAGGAAGTGAAACCTATGATCAGATTAGTCACTCTTATGACTCTTACTCACATTTGCATCACTTCTAAAGTGAATAAAATAGTAACAATAAACTAATCTCCATTTTTCTGGGGACCTCGTGGAACTCCCTCAAGGACACCTAGTTGACAACCTGTTCTAGCTGTTCTGCAGTTTGACTTTACCTCGTAGCTATATCAAAAATGTGATTATGAAAGAAATAGTCAACCCTACAATATCATGGCAATATTGATTTTGAGTTATTTTGCCAAGAATATTGTGATATTTGATATTCACCACATCGCCCGGCCCCAACTGGTTGCCAAAGGTAGCAGGGCTTTCAGTTAAGAATCAATAGTGCTACATCATCATCCTCTGCAGTAGCATCATCACTCCACTTACCCTTATTGGTATTATACTTAAATGAACTCACAGAGACTCGTAGGTCGGCGCTGTCTGACAAGTGACCTGATAAAAATCAGGCATCAAAGCATTCTGTGTTTTGAGTCATTTTGTTGCTCGGTGAACTTTCTGTAACCAGTTTGCACCCGTCCCTGTTTCTAGTCCCCTCTTTTTCCCGTGCTCCATTCATCCCCAGGTTTCTTTGTGTGCTGTAGTGCTCTAGGTACCTGCCTACAATTATCCTCTCTGTCTCCTCTTCTGTTCCTACTCCCCTCCCTTTTCCATTCACTTTCTCTCTCTCTGTCTCCCTCTCTCTCCCCTCCCCCTCCTCTCCCTCTCTCTGTCTCTTCTTTTGAAAGAGCTGGCTTCAGCAGACTGCCTGAAACGAGCGACGCATGCCCACACATACATGGGCTGCTGCGGCCCCCATCCACGCTAATCACAGGGTCTCTGTGCGTGTGTTTGCATCTGACGTGTGTGTGTGTGTGTGTGTGTGTGTGTGTGTGTGTGTATGTGTGTATTCCTGGCTGCAGCACAGCAGTGAGGATATGTAGCTTCCTGTGTGCTGCTAGGCAGCCCAAGCTCATTCTGCCGCATGCCGCTCACCGCCACCATTACGCAGAGGAATTCCCTGCTGTCTCCGCTGCTGCTGCTGCTTGCAGAGAGTGCAAGTGTTGGCTAGAGAGCGGAGGAGAGGACACATGCAGCAAAGCGACACTGACAGATAGAGGACAGAGCCGGATTTCACGTTGGATTTTACATGAAGATGTGCAGTGTTTCTTTACAAGGAAATCACTCCGTTTATGGGATTTATTGCTGACCTTTGTGTTCCTGAATTGCGCTCGATGTAAGAGGGAATACTGTGTATTGATGTGTGTGTGTGAGAGGGAGAGAGTGTGTGAGTGATTGTGTTAGCGTGTATGTGAGTGTTTGTTCCTGATGCGGTCAGAGCGGGCTAGTCGTGTGTGTATCGTGGTGCTGGAGGAGGTGGAGGAGGATGAACCCTCCTCTTCACCCCCACCTCCTCGGCCCAAATCATCCCCAGATCGCAGATCCCATCATGCCTCTCGAAGGGCTGCCATTAAGGAGGACAAGGTGAGATGGGTCCTTCTGTTTGTATTTCTGTTGATTGAGTTGGAGTTGGCTGTTTCAGCTGCCATGTTTCTGCTTTACATACAGCTGTTTTGTGTGAATGACAGCATTCACCTGGGTTTTGAATAGACAAATGCACTCCTCATACCTGGCCTGAAGTTCAAACCTGTGCTGAGGTGCATTATTACACGTCCCATTGCATAAAAATACAATGTGCTGCCCACACTTGTCATCCTGTGCTAAATATAGCATCAAATACAATCACCAATATAGCATGCCATGTGAGATGACTGCTGGTTTGTATAGATTATCAGCAAAGCCTGGGCCTTTTGTGTTCTCCATTGCTGGCTGTGTAAAGGGCAAGCCTACAATTGAAACATGGTAGTAAATCTTTTCATTCTATGAAAGATGCTCTTTGAAGTTAACACTAAGAAGGGGGAACTCCAGAGAGGATGTGCCAGTTCTGATGTTTGTGCTCTTAGTCCACATCTACCTTCTCTGATCTCTGACATAGGTCATCAGTGTAATAGGCATGAGGCATATGCCGACATGCCTGACAGTCCCACTTATTTTTAGTTGGGATGAAATGAGAGAGGGATTGGGAAAACTGAGAGAGGCTGAGAGTAAGGGGCAGATCCATATCATGGTATATATATTATCACATGGCAGTCCTTGCGGGGGGGAAGGTGTATGTGTGACAAAATGTTATTAGACCCAAAGTACTTTTTACAGACTTAAAGTACTTGATAAATTGCATTACAGGGAATGACAATATACTGTCATTTAGAGGGGCTTTGAAATTTGAAGCCTCTGCTATGTTTGTTTATTTCATGTGTACATTCACAATAATGTTTTAGCAGAAAGGAAAGCATTGCTTACATTTTGTATTTTCAATATTATTTCCAAGATAAAATCCTTCGACTAATTACTTATCCGAACATGGTGAAACAAGGAAACAGTTTGCTATAATTACCACTTAATAAAGTTTATTGTCCAGCAATAAATTGTTATTGCAAACCTGTGTATTTAGGAGGAAAACATGACGGAAAAAATACAAAATGAGTGCCAAAGTTGTGCTGCTGTTGATAAACTTCCACTTTGAGTTGTAACATCAAGGTTCAAGGCTCTCTGTTGTTATCCAAGATAAAATTTAAGACAATAAATAAACCACAAACAGGCTATGAAAACATCACAAGAGTACTGTATTGTAACCCCGGTATCCAGGATTGAATTGTGAACTTAAAATAGTGTCACTTGCCTTAAACTTTAAGTTGAATGGACTAGTGCTATCGTGTTGCCTACCATTACCACTTGAAGGCTCATGTTGACTGTTGAGCAACACAGTTTACAAATCCCACTCAGTGTCAGGCACCGTGCTCACAGTTTACATTCATGCAAACAGACGTACATAAATTAAACCACAGTGGGAATAGTATTTAAGAGGTGTTCTCAGTGTTTTTATGAATCCGTCATTCATTTGCAGCTTCCTCCTTCTGGAAAAATGAAATTGTTTCACTTGTCTTTTACACTGCTGTTTACATTCTTATCAGCTGGCCGTGCAACACGTGGCAAGAGGGCAAGGCTTTAACCCCCCACAGACTCTATTATTTACGTAATAGTGCATGTGTGCGTGTGTTTGTGATGTTTGCTGCAGCTGCTACTGTCATAAACAAATTAATGACATCCAGTCCAGCCATTTGTGATCTATGGCTCTTTCCCAGCTCAGGATTATAGCGTGTGTGAGACTCTCCCATTTGTAACTCTCATAACTCTCACTGATAACACAGTTGTCAGCGTAGAAAATTACGGCCTTGCAAATCGAGTATGTCGCAGTGTACATCAGCATTTCTTTGTCTTTTCCTTGTCTCTGTAGCCGTCGCTGTTGAGAGCCATCTTTAATGTGGACCCAGACGAAGTTCGCTCCCTCATATTTGAGAAAGAGGATGTCAACTTTCAGGTAAGTCACACTCTTCTTGCTATTTCCACCCGTGTGTATTTGTCTTTCGCACTGTAGCTTCACACACACCACAACATATTAAAAAACACCAAGGAGAGGCTGCAATTGATCGATTGACTGACTCAGAGCGCCCTCTGGCATTTCCCCCATCTTTTATAACTGTCAATCTGAGCAGGACACACAAACTGTTCATAACACCACCGCTCCCCTATGGCTTAAGGACATAACCTTCACCTGATAACTCCTTTTTTCTCTCCCATCGCTTTTGCTCGCTGTCCCGAGTCTCTCTAAATGTGTTTCCTCAGTTTATACCACTCTGTTTTCACAGTCTTTGTCTGTCTGTGGGTCTGTAGTGCTGGGGTCATCACACTGAGTCTTTTGGAGTCAGCAACACTGGCCCAGGCTTATTGCAGTCACATGACATTTGTTTATAGCCCCACTCCGATGATTGCTCTCTCTACTGCACTGACAGAGACGGGGGGGGGCAGGAGGGTGTATTGAAGTGATGGAGCGAAGTGAAGAATACAAGTGAACACATGATCAACATTTTTCTCCTTGAGGCTCTGATCTCATGTTTCTTGTGGTCTGCAACAGTGCCAGGTTTATAGATTGTAGTGAGGGCATGTTATATGCCTTCGACACATAATGAAGTTAGAACAGTGATGCATGCTTACTGTATTTGTGAGCATGTTTTTTGAGGCCCATGTTTGAAAAAGAGAAATGATACACCAGCCTGGGAACCAGACAAAATCGGGGAGCTTAGGTTTTATTTGCTCTGGCAGATGTGTCTGGTCCCCCTCCTGTTCAAACAGATTTCCAGCCGAAAGTGGCCGCGGTCGGGTTTGATACAATGACTGACAAATTACATACACGATGATGTCTTTTTTTTTTTTGCTCACGCACCCTCAGCTAGCATAAACGTAGTGTAGTAAAGAGGAACGTCGTTGAGGCATTGTCAACAACCAGATGGCTTTAAATGATGTGGAACTTTATGTTGAAGTGCTATTTTCAAATTCCCATGACAAATAATGGCAACATAATCATTTACAGACGTACTGAGGCTACACCATCACAGCATGTAGTCCTCTGCATGGTTGTAGTTCTATCCAACTGCATCCAGAGGCATTTTGACCTACGCCTGATGATACCGCCCCTCGCGAACTGAAAATTCCAGACTAATTCGCATTTGATACATGGTCTGGCGATACCAGGCTAATAATACACTTGCTGATGGTAATAATCTTGAAGATATCTCTTTAAATAAATGTCTGTGACGTCGCTAGCGATTGCAGAATGAGGAATGATGAAAGCCCATGCATTTGCAGTATTACACATTTGGTGTCTCTGACGATGCTCCCAGGAAAAATCTCAAGTGGTGGAGAGTCATTAATAATCTGCCCTTTAACACAATGAAACATACAGACACACACACCATCTATGTTGTGGTAACCCTTTCATCTCACCAGCTGCAGTGGTTATAAAACAAGCTGATAAATTAAACATCTTGGTTTCAAGATTCACACAAAGATTCAGACGGATGGTAGACGGCAGACACCTTGTGGACGACAGGGGAAAAGAAACAGTGCGATGGTGCGTGGCAGGACAGCAAACCACACACACACAACAATGTGTTGCTTTTGCTATGGTGATGTATTGTTTACAGATAGTTGGCTTCACTAATGTAGCATAACACACTTTCCAGATTACCCACCTTGTATTCCACTCAGCTCTGTGCTGATTTCCTGCCAAATGTAAGCTTGTCTTGTAATATCTTGGTTGGATTTAAAGCTCCAATCATATACTTCCAGGTGTTGTTGCACCAGTTTTGATATTATAATATTAACCTTTTGTTCTTAAAAATGTTTTCTGCTTGTGTCGCGGAGCTATGTAAAATTCAGTCATAAATTTTGTTGCATTAAATATTAAAACTATGGACGGCTACACCATCTATGGTTACTATTGGTGCTCTTTCCGGCCTCACCTTATTTCATTGTGCTGCTCTCGTTCACTGTGCTGCTGTACCTTCTTTCTGAATTAGCTACAAAGAACAACGCTAAGATTATTGAGATTGTAGCTCTAAATTGGTCTGTATTTTCTTTTCTTTTGTCAGGACAACGAGAAGAGGACACCTCTGCATGCTGCAGCCTACCTGGGGGACGCTGAGATCATTGAACTGCTCATCCTCTCAGGTAAACACCACAGCCCACCTCTGCTTGCTACAGTCGATCAATATTTAATTTCCACCTAATATCTATCCACCTCTAGTATCAATTCTACTTGAAAGCTTACTCATTCATCCACACTGGCTGATCGCAACAATCCCTGTATGCATCCATCTAGTCCTATTATCTGTGAATCCATATTAGCTCTCCTAAATTTTGCTAATTCTAAACTTGAAAACTTGAGAAAAATCTTATATTGGGGACCAGACAATTTTAATTGTTTTTCCTGTTACCTGTCAGAGTTATTACATCTGTTTTCATTACACAGTAAATTGTTTCAGGGTGTACTGAAGTCATGTAATTGTATGGATTGTTTTAAGATTTGAATCTGGTCAAACTAAAATGGAAACAAATTTATCATCAGTGTTTGAAGAACCTCAAGATTTGAGTGGCAACACCAAAAGTCCTGCCATGCTTCCTAAACTCCTCAAAGCCACTGCTTGGTCCTCGTGTCTCTCCTCCCCTCATGTTGCTCCTTGTTCCCTCAGTAGTTTTCATTTCTGTGTCTGCCCACTGCTCTGTGGCTGTCACCCTCTCTCGGTGGCCTAGTGATTTATCAATCATCTGATAGGGTCTACGTTGGCTTGACTTTCACCGAAGTCAGCTGAGCACCTCAGGAGGTGGGGCAAACCCTAACACAAGCTTAGTGTGTACGTGTGTGTGTGTGTATTTGTGTTCACTGTTTCCCAATAACGTGAAGAGCAAGCAACAGGTGCAGCTTCAGGACTATTTTAACCCCCAAGCTGTGCCAAAGAGGATCATGGGAGTTTTATACCTTCCAGACCCTGTTGGCTAATAACACCCTTCTGCCATAAGTCACGTGAAAAGCCTTTAAACCTGTCACTTTGTCTTTAAAGGTCCAGTGTGTAGGATTTAGGAAGATATATTGGCAGAAATGGAATATAATGAAATAAGTATGTATCCTTTTGTGTATAATCGTGTGAAAATAATTGCTGTGCTTTGTTTTTCTTACCCTAAATAAGCTCTTTATATCTACAAAGGGAGCAGGTCTGCAAACTCTGCTCTTCCTAAAACCTCCTAAAAATCTGGAACAGAAAAAAGATGAGCGTACTTTAAGGTATCAGAAAAAAGAGGGTGAGCACACATTAGCAGGTGCCAGGCTAGCGTCGGAGAAACACTGATTTTCAACATGAAACTGCTTTATTCAGTGTTTTTACTGGTTTTAGTCAGCTGGTCCGTTTGTTTTGGAGAGGAGGAGACCTCTGTGATTAATATTGCTCCCGGTACAATCCTCCTAAACAAAGAACACTGAAGGAATTGTAACCGGGCACTCATGCTTGGCACAGGGGAGACATTTCAGCTGGTTGCAATCTGCAGTCCTCAACGCTAGATACAACCAAATCCCACACTCTGCTCCTTTAAGCTTCTTACTCTTCACGTTCCTCCATTAGGTATCTTGGCTTTTAATTTGTCTTGCAATGATCCAACATTTTTACAGATTTCCAGTATTTTTGCTTTTGCTTTGTCTGCCATTGTCGAAGTATCTCTGACATCTTTCTCTCTCTCCCTCTCACTCTCCTCTCATCCAAGGAGCCAGAGTTAATGCCAAAGATAACAAGTGGTTGACTCCTCTTCACCGAGCTGTCGCCTCTTGTAGTGAGGTAACACATTACACAAACACACATGCTGATGTGTACTGTGGTGACTCCACAGTAATTATGTGACTATGTTTGTCTCTTTCTCAAATGATGAAATGCTCTGAGTCTAACAGTAGTGTTATAGCCTTTCAAGCGTTTGAGAATTCTCTGTTTGATAACACAAATTCAACCCGACTAAGAGGGCTTTCAGCACTGACGATAACACTGCAGTAACAATGCAGACATCTGTCATTTCAGTGATACCACTGTGGTGGCAGAAGACACAGGTCACGGCAGCAACACACATACAAGATCGAATATCTTGCAGCTAGCGTGTTGGCATCAGATGAGAGAATTATTGCTGCTGAGATAATGTTTACAGATTAAAAAAAATTTGGCCTTAAACGGGCAAAATCCCATAACCACTGTGCAGTCTGTTGGTATTTGATAAACCTTCAAAATCTCTTCACCTATTCTGCTGGGTCCTGGGCAACATGCCCACACTAACACAGCCCTTTGCGTTGCTTCTCCTTCCCAGCGCTATTGTCGGCATAAAAGCCCCCTAAGAATAGCAAAGACTTTTGTAACCACCCACACATAGCCACCTGCGCACATTGGCATGTGCTTTGTTAGCACACTGAGGCGTATTTGAAAATAGACCCTCTGTCTGCACACTCTGACCCATGCTCACTCTCCATGCAGGATGCAGTGGCAGTGTTGCTGAAGCACAGTGCAGATGTTAACGCCCGTGACAAGAACTGGCAGACCCCGCTCCATGTTGCAGCTAGCAACAAGGCAGTCCGCTGTGCCGAGGCTTTGGTCCCGCTCCTTAGCAATGTTAATGTGTCTGACCGGGCGGGACGCACTGCCCTGCACCATGCTGCCTTCAGTGGACATGTAGAGGTTGGTGTCTTTCAGACACACACAGAGACAATCGCATACACGTCAGCATCTAGTTAATGTGCTTTTCTATGACAGATGGTGAAGTTGCTGCTGTCAAGAGGAGCTAACATTAATGCATTTGACAAGAAGGACAGGAGAGCCATCCACTGGGCAGCCTACATGGGTGAGACTGTTATAATGTGCAGTTTCTAATGCAAACACACTGTTGTATCAGAGAAGATAAAGCCTCCCAAGTTGTCATTTCCGTAAATAGTATGTCTTGACTTAGTCAAATTTGACTCGTGTCACTTACTCCCCTCCCATCTCTGTTTCAGGTCACCTGGAGGTGGTAAAGTTATTGGTGGCCAGTGGAGCAGAGGTTGACTGTAAGGACAAGAAAGCCTACACACCGCTCCACGCAGCCGCCTCCAGTGGCATGAGCAGCACAGTGCACTACCTGCTGAGCCTAGGGGTCCATGTCAGTACAGACGCACACACACATGCATGCACTAGCAATGTCCTTAAAGCTGGGGTTGGCAGAAATCTTGAAAAGGCAAAGAAACGCTCCACTAGTATTAACTAGTGTTTTATTTAGTTTATTATCAGACTCTCTGTTAAACTCTATTTTTGATAAGTCCATCTTCCTTTGTGTTTCTTTGCAATGTAGGCAGTCGTCGCCAAGTCTGATATAGCAACGTTTTATGCAGGACTCTCCATCATTGAATCAGGCTTTCACCGAAGCGACACCTGCATTTGTAAAACAGCCAATAGGAACACTGTCTGATTGGCCAAAGTCTCTCGACATGGCCTATATTTTCTAGAGCCTGAAAAGAGAGTCAAGAGGAGGTGCAGAAGTCTGGTGTTCCCTCAGTCCACTTGAATCACAATATGCTCAAAGTGAATTACGGAATTTTTGACTAATGGAGCTTAAAGTAAACTGCCTACCCAAGCTTGTATACCGTGCCATGACCTTTTGACCTTAACTGTAAATATTCAAGCTTTTTTTAATGGTATCGATATAATATTCTCACGTCAATAAGATGCAAAAGCCTTGATATTTTTTCTCCTCTTGCATAGGTCAATGAGATAAACAGCTACGGCAACACCCCGCTCCATTTGGCCTGTTATAATGGACAGGACGTCGTGGTCAGTGAGCTCATCGAAGCAGGGGCCAGTGTCAACCAGGTGTTTGCGCATCTCCCTGTGCAAGGTAGTATGTGCGTGGTGATTATGTGTGTTTAACTGTGTTGTTTGGTTCCTTGCTTCAGGTGAATGAGAGGGGGTTTTCTGCTCTCCACTTTGCCTCCTCCTCACGCCAGGGAGCGCTGTGCCAGGAGCTGCTGCTGGCCCACGGAGCTCACATCAACATGCGGGTACAAACACACAAATTGATCAGTAGATACAGAAGAAGTGTGCCTGTAACATCACCTGTACATATTATCAAAAGAACAAAGAGAGGAGCTTGTGTCCTTAACTCTTACCGATGTGTATGCTGCCCAGTATCTAGTAGAAAGTTGAAATGGCAGTGTTGTTAACGCTTTGCTAGCAGTGATGGAAACTGATATTAGGTCCCCACAGCCTCAAGATGCAAGGCCATATGGAAGATGACGGGGGAGGGGGTGGCTCCCTGAGGCTGCAAGCTGCTCAGGGAATATGTGTGTGGGTGTGCGTGTGGTCCACGAGGGGGTCTAGGATGGCTTCTGTTCGTGCTAAGCTTTCTAACACAACAGTTTAGTCAGCTTCCCACACTGGCACCTAAGTGAAATACAATAAAGACAAAATACAGAAAATCATAATCATCATCTTTATCCCTCTCTGCCTCTCTCCACTGTTTCACCCTCCATCTGTCCAGAGTAAGGATGGTAAGACTCCTCTCCACATGGCAGCTACGCATGGAAGGTTCTCCTGCTCTCAGGCCCTCATTCAAAATGGTGAGAGCCCTCGCAGTTTGCTGATTGCTTCATGCCTGAGGGTTTTAATAGAAATACATACATATACGCTATATTTATGTGTTTGTAGGAGCTGAGATTGATTGTGAGGACAAGAGCAGAAACACTGCCCTTCACATCTCTGCCCGCTATGGCCATGAGCTCATCATCACGGCACTCATCAAACACGGAGCCAACACCTCCAGGTTAGTAACCATTGACATTTAACCATCTGTCTATCATCCCACTGAATACGATCTGTGCTTTAGTAATAGGAAGCACATAACCAGGGAACAATGTGATGGCTGAAGGTGGTTAAGCACAAGAAAAAGCCATTCTTTCAGCCTCTTTGTTTCCTTTCTGTCATCAAACGTGCGCCCATGCTCTCACAGCTTACCCTCCTGTGATGACTTGCCTTCTCTGCCTTAAATGTTTCCAGGAGAGGCATTCACGGGATGTTCCCTCTACACCTGGCAGCTCTCAGCGGCTTCTCAGATTGCTGCAGGAAGCTGCTGTCCTCAGGTACATTCATGCTGACACCATTCTTGTCACTGGAATCACCTAGTTGACATCCTAATTGATGCTGATCGCATATTTTTGCAGGGTTTGACATAGACACCGCTGATGACTTTGGAAGGACCTGTCTACATGCTGCTGCAGCTGGAGGGTGAGTCATCATTCCTGCTCGCTGCTTTACTGTTGTTTTATTTCTGAGCCTCATTTATGCTTTTCTTTGTTCATTATTTAACACCACTCACCCTTTTTGTTTCTGCTTTCACATCTCTCATGTGCACTTGGTTACAGTAGATTGGTATGCGAACAAAACATCACTGATAAAGCTGTCTCTCCAACCAGGAACCTGGAGTGTCTGAACCTGTTGTTAAACATAGGAGCGGACTTCAACAGGAAAGACAACTTTGGAAGGTGAGCCAAGCATGTAGTTTAATACCAGTAGGGCTGGGAATATAAATAATATTCAGTCTGAAGGCAGAAGGAGACTTTTGACCACATTTTTGAGAGGAGAGGGAAAGTATGAAGTCCTCACTGGCATTAATAATAACTGAAGTCGACTCTCCGGCCACTCCAGGACTCCACTACACTATGCATCAGCCAACTGTAACTACCAGTGTGTGTTTGCCTTGGTGGGTTCCGGGGCAAGCATCAATGAGCTGGACCAGAGAGGCTGCAGTCCTCTGCACTACGCTGCTGCAGCTGACATTGATGGAAAGTAAGTTCTACTGTGTGCTTTTTTTTTATACAGCTCATAGTTAAAAGTATCAAAGAATACTGTCAGTTCAATGCTTCTCCCTTTTGTCTTTGTTAGATGTGTGGAGTACCTGTTGAGGAACGATGCTGATCCAGGAGTGAGAGACAAAAAGGGTTACAGTGCAGTGCACTATGCCTCAGCGTACGGACGCACACTCTGCCTGGAACTGGTGAGTACAGCTCGCTACCACGCAGAGTGAAAATATGTTACATGTCTTACAAACAGTCAGAAAATATGACTTCCATGTGCCAAAAAGTTTTAGAACTGCAGCACACAAGTACACTTGTCATGGTGTTGTATCGTGTTTCTTTCAGATGGCAAGTGAGACACCTCTTGATGTGGTAAGAAAGAAATTTCAATAATCCACTGTAACACAATGAGCCCTTATGTTGATCGTTTCTTTGTATGTAGCGCCCTCTGCTGGGCGGATGGGGAAAATAGTGGTTAGATCATCTGGCAGGCAGATGAAGCTGCTGTGAAACCTCTCCTATCTTGTCATCGGTTTGATAATGATTGGCAATACTGTTAAGCTCTAACGAGACAGGGACTTGCCATGTGAGCAAACCTGAATCTGAATGTAGTAATATGTGACCAATCTCTTGATTTCAGCTAATGGAGACATCTGGAACAGACATCCTGAGTGACTCCGAAAGCCAGGCCCCCGTCAGTCCCCTCCACCTAGCGGTGAGTACAAGCATTTGGCTGTGTGTCTGTGTTTGGCTGCTCTCTCATACACAAAACTATGCGTTGTCTGCTGTATCTATTACCATCAAACATAAAAGACGTGTGTTCTCTGTGTGTGTCTTCCATTGATTTAGGCTTACCATGGACACTGTGGAGCTTTAGAGGTCCTCTTGTCGTCCCTGCTGGAAGTGGATGTTTGCAGCCCAGATGGCCGGACCCCCCTGAGCCTGGCATGCTCCAAGGGTCACCAGGAGTGTGTCTCCTTGCTGCTGCACCACGGTTCCTCACCCATGACCCGAGACTACACACACAAAAAGACAGCCATACATGCTGCAGGTACGTGCAATCATGCAGATGCATAAAGCCACATCACATCGTTTAATGAGGTTTATATTTTGGCTATTAAAATGGAAAACATGTTGTTCCTTTAAGGAAAAAAGTCATGGATGTGTGTGTCTGTCTGCCGCAGCTATGAACGGCCACCCCGAGTGCCTGCGCCTGCTCATGAGCAACAATGACCAACATATTAACGTGGACGTTCAAGACACCAACGGACAGTGAGTGTGTATGTGTGTGCAAAATTGCTCAGGCTGGAGATTTTCATGTAGATCACTGTCACTCTTTGAAAAGATTACTTTAACTAGTTTCATAATAAATAAAAATAACTCCCACACTGTGCACAGGACTCCTCTGATGTTGGCAGTGCTGAATGGACACGCAGAGTGCGTGTACTCTCTACTCAGCCAAGGAGCCAGTGTAGAGAAGCAGGACCGCTGGGGGAGGACGGCACTACACCGAGGGGTGAGACATTCACACACACCCACTAACATTTTAACATTATGTTTCATTATAGCATATTTATTCTTGTTTTTTTTTTCCATTCTCTCATTTCTCTCACAGGCGGTGACGGGCCAGGAGGAGATCGTGGAGGCCCTCCTCCAGCGGGGGGCTAGTGTGTGTGTCAGAGATATCCGGGGCCGCTCCCCTGTTCACCTGGCATCCGCTTGTGGCCGCGTGGGCGTCCTGGGTGCCCTGCTGCAGGCCACCACCACCCCCTCACACACTCAAACACACCTCACTGACAACCAGGGCTACACACCACTGCATTGGGCCTGCTACAACGGTACTGGGGCACAGCATAACTCACTTGAGATCTGTTCTGTTTGAAGCCACAGCAAAGTAGTATTAACATCTGTTCCTCCCTTTGCACCTCAATCCTCTCTTTGCCTTCCTTTCCTAGGATACGATGCTTGTGTGGAGGTGTTGTTAGACCAGGAAGTGTTCAAGAAGATCAAGGGCAACTCTTTCAGTCCTCTGCACTGTGCTGTGTAAGACAATGTGTCTGTTTGTACTAATCACTGTTCTTATGAAGATAGACCCTGGTCTGAGACTGTGTGACAGTGTGTGTTGTGTATTTCAGGATGAGCGACAACGAGGGAGTGGCGGAGATGTTAATCGACTGCTTGGGCACAGCTATCGTCAACACCACTGACTCCAAGGGCAGGTGAGAGATGCAAACTTACTCATGTTACAGTGAACTAGTACAGTCGGCCCCATTCAAAATGTGCCTGCTTTGAAACATGTTACTATTCCCATTGTACTCCGAAATTGCTCACAAAGGCCCCCAAAGCAGCTCAATAGAATACTTCTTACTCATTGTGAATTTCTATTTATTCTTCAGTGGAAAACATTGAATTAATACATATATTTGACAGAGAAATGCCACCGATCAGATTCAGATTTTAAGGCCTTTGCGCACTGCGTCCGTTTTTTCAGATGCATCTTTTAAATCCGTCATCCGAAACGAAAAAAAAAAGTTAAGCAGAGAGGCCTTGCACACTGAGTCCGGCGTATTTTATCGTTATTTGTTGCGACAATATGCAATACAAGACAAAATGAAAAGAGACATTTCCTCCCCTGCGTCTCTCCACTGGAGATTCCTTCTTTTTTTGGTATTTGGCACTGTGGCTGAAGGGACCGAGCTGTCCTATTTCTCTGTCTCCACACTTTTGCTCGCTCTCTGTCTGTGTGCGGTCCACGTCTTCCTCCTCGTCATCATTATCCACCTGAATGTTACTATCTGACCTGTTGAAAATAGCTGTCTGAGTTATGAGAGGATACTCTATAACCCATTCCTCTGTCTTGTCACAGGTGAGTCCCGCTACCACATTTTTTGTCTTTTGACAGATATGGAAAACGCTGAAAATCGAACCTGTTCCCAAAACTTTTACGATGGACAAAAGTTGCGTACTCAGTGTGCAAACAAGATTGACACAACGTGAGGTCGTATTTATTTTTAGACATGCAACAATTTTGGACAATTTGTGCAAAGGCCTTTACTGTCAAAATATAACAATTAAATTATGAGCACTATTATTCAGGAAACTGTCCATCAATATAATAGAACTGGAAGCTGAATGGTTTTCAGAATATGCAGGGGACACAAACATATATTTTGCTTTAATAGTTAGATGAAAGTTTTTTGGAGCACAAGCTCTGCTGGTAAATTGTCACCTGTGTTTGTGTTGACACAGGACCCCCCTTCACGCTGCAGCTTTTTCTGACCACGTGGAGTGTGTTTCCCTTCTGCTGAGCCACGGAGCTCAGGCAAACATAGTTGATGCACACACGCGCAGGACACCACTTATGATGGCAGCTTTAAACGGACAGACCAATACTGTGGGTAAGTACAGCCGCTGACACATAGATACACTTATTGGCCTTTGCTCTCTAGATCTTTGACATGTAACCGTCTCTGTTCATGTGTTGCAGAGATGTTGGTGAGCAGCGCTAAAGCAGACTTAACACTACAGGATACAGACAGGAACACAGCGTTACATCTGGCTTGCAGCAAGGTAACAGCTTTTCTGTTCACTGGACATGGTGTGTTATAGATATTGACATGTCACCAAGGATCTCCGACCAAAGAGAAGAAAAATAATCACCCAGCTGGTATTGAACGTCTTTTCTAGTGTGAATTTAATAAAGGTTTTCCACTAAATGTTTCCAGTTTTCACTTTGTTGCTCTCTGATCCTCGCAGGGTCATGAGACGAGTGCCTTGTTGATTCTGGAAAAGATCAGCGACAAGAACCTCATCAACTGCACCAATACTGCTCTCCAGACGTACGTAGAGTTCCCAGGGTGCTTGCAGACGCTCAGCTGTGCATTGGGGTAGAAAATGGAGGCTAGAATTATTCTGATAACTCCCTGTAACTTCTTTCAGGCCCCTGCACGTAGCAGCGAGGAAGGGATTGACAGTGGTGGTCCAGGAGCTGCTCAGGAAAGGAGCCAGTGTGTTAGCAGTGGATGAGAACGGTCAGCTCACTGCTGCAGAACACACCTCACTATTTTATTTTCTCGGCTTTGTCTACACCTGGTATTACATGCGTGTTGGGTGATAGGATCAGAAGTGGACAGCTCAAAGTACAAGTGTGATGCACCAAATTTGTTCTCGATGCATCTTGAGATCAAATTGCCCGACCACATTCAGATGTAGATTGCATTCAGATTCAAAGAATGCTCCTAAAACCTGAATAATATCGGCAAATCTCACACGTCTTAACTCATGATCAAATCATGCAAGACACATGTTAACACCAGATGGAAACAGGCCCCAAGACTGAAATGTGAACTTGTTTTCACTCACTCTTCTCCTGTCCCTAGGTTACACTCCAGCTCTGGCCTGCGCTCCCAACCGTGATGTGGCCGACTGTCTGGCGCTCATCCTCAACTCCATGATGCCCACCTCCCCTATGGTCACCATAGCAGCTTTGCCCGCTCATTCTCTCACTCATACAGTCATCAACCACCACCCCACCAACAACCATATCTCCAAAGGAGTGGCGTTTGACACCCCACCCCCTCTGAGGCCCGACCACGCCTCCTACTGCAGACCGGAGCGCCTGCTGTCCTCTGTCACTGCAGACGATGAACTGAATGACTCAGATTCAGAGACGTACTGAGGACATACCTGCTAATGGACAGAGCCCCACAATACTGGCAGGCGAGCCAGCCACTCAGGAGCCTTAATAGATCACTGACAAGGAAATAAGAGAGAGAAGAGACGGAGAAAATAGAGCCAGTGTGCAGATTATTTTTAGGTAAGCTTCTTCAGATCTAAAAATAACCCTTGTAAAAAATCTTTTGTTTCCTTAAGGTGCATACCCGCTGGGTGGAAAATAATGTAGTAAAATATAGAATAAGGTGAACATACACTATGTTTCTCTCAGACAGAATCACTGTATGGTCAGTAACATGACCAGTGTCTTTTTAAATTTAAAGCTATGTTGTTTTTCTTTTTTTAAGTTAAAGTCCTTCTCTTTGCTGATACTTTCTGGAGTGGTTTTAAGCATTTTCACCCTTTTCCTGTCAACTATTACTAGAAGATCGTCCACTGGAGAAAAGCTCAAAGGACTGCTTTGTTTTGGCACGATTGTCTAAAGAAAAAAACAGAGGGACAGTCGTATGGGACCAGGAGATCGATTACTGTTTTCCCTACTGTACTTTTGAGTTTTTATCCAGAGTTCTTCACGCTTTCATGGCAGACACTGACGGCTGTCACTCACGCATGTTCATAAAGCTGCATCATTGTTATTGAACCACTTCTCAGTTCCTAGCAGAGGAAGTCATTGTTGAATCCTATGAATTTATTCCGAGTGGCGACTGAATCATTGGGAGCTGAGCAGGACAGTAGGTGGATGTGAGACCCTTTTACTGTATGATTGGTCCAAGTGATGACCCGAATGAGCAGCTCAAGGAACTTTTATCTTGCAATGCTGTAACTACTCAATGTCTGTGTACTGTACTGGAGACAGGGCAAAGTGGCTGACACTGTGTATGTGTGTGTGAGTGTGTGTGTGTGTGTGTGTACGTGTATGTGTGTGTCGGAGAGAGAAAAATTAATAAATATTGCCTTTTTAGGAACAAGCAACTTTCAGGCAGAGGATGAACACTACTGGTGCAATGTTTGTAAAGATTAAGTGATGAATGAATAAAGACAATTGTTTTTGAATTTGAATTTATTTGTTTATTTTTAAAAATGGGACAGAACATAGTAATGAACATTAACAATGTAATCATGTAAGGGATTGTAGCCAAGCGGCTAATTTCCATCCCTTGTCCCATTGGCAGGTAGGTGTTTTGATTTATTGCCCTGTGTATACAGACTGTACCAATGCAGAAGTGCCTCAAACTGGCATTTGATTGTTATCATTATCAGTCTCGCTCAGAACATTTTATTTTTTCAAATCACTCTTAAAACACTTCTGTCATTGTTCCTCTGACACAACCATCTATTCCAAAGAAGTTCACTCATTGTCAAGGTGATACATTCGTCCGAACAGACAGGCAGTGAGCAGCCCACCAGTCATGTTCGAGTGTCTCATGGTCACTGTGCCATCTGCAGCTATTTCCAGATGCTCAGGCTGCTCCAGGACCAGCTTGCTAGCTAAGACTGATGGGTACACATATCTGGTCCCAAACTTCCCCTCCAACGTGAAGTCCATTTTAGATTCAGCCTCTTCCACTCCCTGTCCACAGGAACCGGTGTTCAACCCTGCACAGCGGACCAGTGCACACACCTGCAACACAGATATGACACATGTGACAAGAGTCTCAAAAAGCAGCTTTAAAATATTCAAAATTATTGTCATTCATACCTGCAGGGCCCAGTGTGCATCCAGTGTGTGAGTCCCAGCAAATGCTCCTAATGCATAGAGCTCTTCACTGCTGCCATCCTGTTGAAACCTCCGGTACTGCAGGTGACAACAAAATGTGCCATTACAGACATTCACTTCACCCTCTGTCTGGTTTAAGAGGACAAATGTAAATGGGTTACACAGCACGGGTGAGAGGAAGGTGGCGGAGGGGGGAACTGTTTCAGGAGGAGGAACGAAGCAGCTCTGTTGCTGACAGTTTCCAGAGTCTTTAAGTGCTGATGATGTGGACTGACTACTAACTACCCCCTCCCCTGTGGTTCCACTCCGCCCCACCCACAGTGGGTCTAACACTGGCACCCTGGCCACCAGCAGCCTGCCCTCCTCTGGCTCTCCTTTCTGGGCGTGGTAGTAAGTGGCAGAGAAGGGGGTGTAGATGCCACTTCCACTCATGTACCGACGAATATTACGCAGGTTGGCAGCAAGCAGGGTGACATTGGCACCCAAGCTGAACGCCCGCTGGTGTTGGACAGAGCCCAGTAGGGGGAGTGTATTCATCCAGGCTGTAGGAAAGATCAGCTGACGCACACCCTAAAAGGAGAGAGACTTTTAAGGTGTGCGAGAAGACCAAACACAGGAATGTAGAACTTAGTACAAAATTTTTTACCTTCTCCACCAGGATAATTGTGGGATCATGGAACAGCATGTCAAAGCAGATCATGAGGCCAAAAATTCCAGCAAAAGGTGTATCAAACATTATGATCTCAGGTTGCGGTGGCTTATAGAAGGCCTTCTCATACTTTGCAAAGACGTTGTATTTATGGTAGCGCGCCACCAGCAGGCCATCTGAGCTGCATTAAAGAAGAGTCTGCTAACAGTTCACACAGACTAGGAAACAGTGTGCAGATGTACTTGCTGCGCTTCAGCTACAGTATTTTAAGGTCTGCACTGCACCTGAAAACCACGTTGGTGTTGAACTGCCAGTGTCCATCAGGGGGACAGGAGGAGGAGGAGGGGTCAGTCTTCAGGGGGCAGGGCTGCAGGTCAGGCATGTTGGCCACCACATAGAGGTTGTAACGACGGGCCATACAGCTCAACCGCTGGAGAACCTGTAGAATTCACAGACTGGTGTTGCATGAGTGAAGGCTCTGAGCAGCATAGTGGTGTCTTCATGTCAGTATATCACATGTCAGAGTGCCTGTTCAATAACAACTTTAAATCTAGAAGTGTGATTGTGCACCTCAGTGTTGTTGTATCTGCCCGGCTCTGTGCAGGGGTTCCAGCTCTCCTGCTGGGGGTCAGGAATGGTTTCTAAGTAGCCAGAGATGGACGAACGGCTGTAGTTGAAACCATGAATACCGTCTTCTGGAAACACCAGGATCTGGGCTCCCTGATCAAGGGAAGATGAGGACAGAGTACAGAGATGAGACAAGCTCCATTAATCCACTGTAGTCGTGAACTGTGGTACTTTAAATTTGCTTCTTTATTGAGTTTACTTTGGAACACTGACTTGTTTGCAGTAATATAAGCACCCTGCCATCACAAGTTTAAGGCATGGAATTTTATTTATAATATCCTGACTATGCTTTTTAGTGAGTTTTGTTGCTGATCCAACAGATTCAGATTCAGAATACTTCATTAGTCCCAAAAGGGCAATTCATTTCTACAGTCGGCCTGTCCATAGCAACAAAAACACAATGCAACAAACAGCCAACATCCACAATCAAGCATCATCGCACATCAGCAACAACAACAGCAACAGCCACAACCAATGACAGTACAGCAGAGCGGGATGCAAAATAATTCACAGTTCACAATAATTCACGGTAAAATAAATCTCAGTTCATTCTGCAATTGTGCATTTAGCAGCCTTATGGCAGATGGAATAAAAGAATTTGCATAGTGGTTTGTTTTCCGCACCGGCATATAATACCGCCGACCTGAGGGCATGATTGCAAACTCACTGGCCAGAGCATGATCAGGGTGGGATAATATCCTATCTGCTTTCTGTACCACCCGTGTTTTCCAGAGAGAGCAGAGGTCCTTAACCTGGACTCCAGTAATTTTAGAGCACACTCTGATGATGTCATTCAGACCCTTCTTGTCTTTCACAGATAGACCACCAAACCAGCATATAAAAGAAAATGTTAAAAGGCTCTCAATAAAAGTTTGATAAAAGGTACACAAGATATTTCTGCTGATACCAAAAGAGTTGAGTTTCCTCAGCAGATGGATCCTTTGGTTTGCTCGCTTTACAATGCTGTCAGTGTTTTCACTGAATGTCAGTTGTGAGTCAAACACAGTGCCAAAGTATTTGTACGTTTGTATTTTTTGTACCTCTTCATCATGGATAGTGCTTGGTTTGGGGTCGACACTGGATTTCCTGAAATCTATGATAATTTCTTTGGTTTTTGACACATTTAGGTCGAGGAACCTATCATCACACCAACTGACAAATTCAGGGAGGGCACAACCATGATTTGATTGGTAGCCCTGAAGAAGAGACAGTAAGACTGTGTCATCTGAAAACTTGACAAGACAGCTGTTTTCTTGAGAGGATCTACAGCTGTCTGTGTACAGAATAAAAAGCAGGGGAGAAGGGACTCAGCCCTGGGAGGAGCCTACATTTGACTGTTTGACAGAGGACGTGTCCATTCACAAAGACCTGCTGCAGTCTATTTGTTAAAAAGTTTAAAATCATCAATAAAATCGAATCCAGTAGCATAAAATGAGAGGATAGCCTTTCAATTAAAATATGGGGCTGCATCTTGTTAAAAGCAGAGCTAAAATCAGCAAATAAAAGTCTGGCATGGAATTTCGGTTGTTCGAGGTGCTTGTACAATCCATCTAAAATGAAGAGCTTTGCATCCTCCACACCTTTACCCGCCTGATAGGCAAACTGTAGTGGATCCAGTTTGTCTAAAGTTAATGAGATAATTTCATCCTTCAGAATTTTATCGAAGCTTTTCATTACCAAAGAGGTCAGTGCTATTGGCCTGTATTCGTTTAGTTCCTTGGGGTTTTTCGATTTGGGGATAGGTATTATGGTTGATTTTTTCCATGCATTAGGTATCTGACCACTATTTGCACACAACTGAAAAAGGGTTGTGAAAATTCCACCAAACTGGTCAGCGCAGTAGCGCTGTGTGCGTCCACATATAGCGTCAGGGCCAGCAGCCTTCCCTATTTTTGTTTTTTTTAAACAGGGTTATGACCTGATTCTGGGATATCTCAATGTCATTTAGAGGTGTCAGTGACTCTCTTAACTTAGGGACATCATGTGACAGGGGCCTTTCAAATCTGGCAAA